CTTGTTTTACTTCCATCCCATTTTGGCTGCACGTTCCACCTCCCATAGCAAAATACTACATGCCCTCCAGAACATGGCCATCTCCCACACAGCCAGGCTGTCAGGCCGTGTGGGTTTTTTTCAGTTCCTAATGAGGGCCTAACTATGTGGGTGTAGTTACTTGTTATCTATGAACAAGTACAACTGACCCTCCTTGGGTGTGGGTTTTATTTTCTCTTTCTGGTGAATGAGTGAAAAAATTGAAGGAGTACAGCGAAGATGCTTAAACTTTTCCATAATTACTACTTTTCTGCTCAAAGTCCTAACCTTTTTTGTATTTGGAATGCCACATGGGGGAAGTGAACAATTTGGAGCAGAAAACTGGCTCAGTGCACCCACCCTGATAAAATGGATTTTCCAAGTGACCACAGCCCCTTTCACAAATTACAGTGAATGCACAAATGCACATATAATCCATGTATGGCATACACTTGATTTTCCTTTACATGCATGTTGAGTAATTGTCATGTTGCATTCAACACACGTACAGCTGAACTCCTGGTACCATCCCCACATTTGTTCTGGTTCCTTCTGTCATTCATTAAGTGAAAATGTATTGTATTAAAGAGAGATGTACACACATACATGTAGGTTATACATGCATTCACTGTAACATGAACATTTGGATATCTTCATTTGCATGTACCTTGTAGCAAGGCAGACAACTGAAAGTGACTTTGCTTGAGTAGGGAGGCTGGCTTTTTATTTACATACACAAAGCAACTGACACATAGTCACAACATTTTTAAAAGTGCTATGGATCAAATTAGTCTCTAAACCTGATTGGTATTTATTAGTTTGTTTTCACTGGAATGGGGTGTGTGTGCAGATTTGATTGGTGCTGAAGGGGCGCATTTTTCTTATCCAAATCCCTGTACAACTTCCACTTTTCTTGCTTGTAGCTTTTCCCTGTGGGTAAAAAGCAGTCTGGGGAGGGTGCTTTTTTTAATTGGGAAGGTAACCTGTGGGGATAAGGCTAAGCAAACACCCACTGTGTCACTCAAATGTGCATATCTCCAAGGCTGTGTCTCAGTTTATGTCATAAGACTGTTGATAGGAATCTTTTGTCATAACTAATCTGGTCTCTTGTCCATTACCACACCATATTTTATGGCACTGTGTTGAGGAGAGAGGAGAAATCAATGACTCAGCAGTAGGAGGAGAAACAGATATCCTGTGACATAGCATTCCAAGACTGGCTAGGTTTCACCAAACTGAACCAAGTTGTATAATTTCTCTTTTCACAGAATTTTTTTGTATACAGACAGCTCAGTCTTATACAGTTGGAAGATAATTTTTTTTATACTTTAGAATAAAGTTTGACATTACACAAAAGTAAATTCCACTGAGTTCCATAGGACTTACTCCTGTAAACATGCAGTTTTACAATGCAGAGTTGCATCCTTCTAAGTCCAATAAAACAATGAACTTAGACAGCTGTCACTCTGCTTAAGGTGGCACTGTAATAGAGAAAGGCCTGGTTTAGTCCCTCTAAGTCAGCCAGTTTGTGCTACAGGTCTCTTCTTTCTAGTCAGTCACGAGTTTAAACAACCCAACTTGTTAACATGGGATGATTCAAAAGACAGGCCTTTTAAAAAACAAATTACAAATATTTTCAAAAGAGAGTGATGTACCTAGAATGCAGAATTTTCTTTGCTGAGGCCCATATTTATAAGCTGGAGAGATTTGCCTCATGTGGGTACCGTGGTAAGGGTTTAAGCTCCTTCCTGTCTCTAAACAGCTGCATCCTGGTTACTGATGTCACTGAAATCGGAATTTTAATGGCTGCTTTCATGTTTAATATTTGTTCTATGACTATTGCTATTCCAGGTTGGTGTCCAGACCTAATCAGGACTCTTCCATTGCCAAACTGGTCAGTGGAAATCCATCTGCTCTAGAGGTAGACTACACAAGGCCAGTGGAAGGTCAGCACCGAGAATGAGGAGAAAAATTACAGCAAAGCGAAACATGGTGGCCCAGTATTTCCAGTGTCAAGCACCATTAGAGCAAAGAGTCCAGCCTTTGGTGAAAATGGAGAAGGAGTCAGACCCAACAGGGTCTGATCCACTGGGGGTATCAGAGGGTTCAGTCAAAACCTTTCGTATTGTGCAGGTTGGGACGACTGGGGGAGGCCTAAAACTGTTGACACCTCAGCAGGCTAGAAATGAGCGACAGGAAGCTCCGCATCGCTGGGAAATCCAGGGCCAGGAATTGCCAACACCTGACCTTACACCAGTCCAATCACCTGCATGGCGGAACCTCCAAGTGCCAGAACTCACGCCAACAGAAGACGTTGAAACCTACTTGGCTACCTTTGAACATGTGGCCGATGCCTGCAAATGGCCAAGGGAACAGTGGGTCACCCGGCTTGTCCCAGCCCTCAACGGAGCTGCACTCCAAGCCTACAATAGCTTGGATCCCAGGGAAAGCGGAGATTATGGCAGGGTGAAAGCTGCCATTTTGCGAGAAGATGCTGCCAGCCTCGAAAGGCAACGTCAGAACTTCAGGCACTTCCGCTACCAGGAGGCTGAGGGGCCTCGTGAGGCCTGTAGTCGGTTACGGGGGCTCTGCCATCGCTGGTTGGAGCCCGACAGCCGCACCAAGGACCAGATCCTGGAGCTCCTGATCCTGGAGCAGTTCTTGACTGTCCTGCCGGAGGAAATGCAAGACTGGGTTCAGGAGTATCGCCCCAAGACCTGTATCCAGGCAGTGGCTCTGGCAGAGCATTATCTATTGAAGCAACGAGAGGGGGAGAGGTGGGATCAGCAGGTGAGTACCTTTTATTCAGGTAGCCAGAAGCCTAGGAAGCTGCACAGCTGTGTAGTACAAGCATTTGCTGTGCCCCTTTTTCACCTGCAGAAAAGCTGGTTGGACTTAACCTGGTGTTTTCTTAAAATTGATGTGAACAGTACAGAAGTAAAGTGTGCTTTCCTGCAGGGCCCTTGTGAAGGTGTAGCCACAACTCAGCCCACACAATCTGAGGCCTGCTGGGCTGAATGCAGCCCACCAGTGGCCTGCCAGAAGCCTAGTAATCCCCCTTCCTCATCCCGCTTCTGTCACCCCTTCAGCTGAGTAAACTCGAGTCTGGCCAGATAGTCTCTCTCCTGGAAATGGCTTTCGAGCTTGATGGGTAGAGATCTCTTTGCTTACCTCTGAAGAACCTAGAAGCTGAAACTGGGACTGTTACCCAGAGCCCGAGACCTGTAGCCTTGATCTTCATACAGCAGAACAAATATGTGCAGATACTGATCCATTACTAAAAGTAGCTCCAGATTTTAATGCTACAGCAGGACATTCTTAACCCTAGCTGCCAAGGTGAGGCAAGCTGGCCAGTTTTGATCTGTGGATCAGGCCAAAAAAAGTCCTCAGTGCTTTTCATTCTCTTGCACAACTAGGTTCAACACAGCCCACTTGTCTTGCATTGTAGCCATGCCAGAAGCTTCATAACATTTTCCTAGACTCTCTATGACCTAGGACTGCAGAGACCTCTGTTCAAATCCCCTCTCAACCAGGAAGCTCAGCTGGGTCACCCTGGGCCGCTCATTCTCTCTCAGCCTCCCCACTTGGTGGGATTGTTCTAAGGAGAACTGTGAACTCTTCCCTGATCCACTTGGGAGAATGGCCGGATAAAATACTGGCAAAATTCAACATACCTGAGCTTCTCTTCATTGCCCACCCCAATTGTGGGAGCTTTGACGAGACATGTTGTTTTCGTACCTCTCTCTTTACATATAAAGAAAATCTAGTTGCAAAGCTAACATCCTGCTTGCACAATAGACCAGATTCAGAATTTCAAGGGAAATGGAACGCATTCTTGACTATATAGATCAAAACCAGGGTTGAACAGTTTAAGGATTAAGACAAGAGTTGAACAATGCAAGTGCGGAATGTTTAAGAGGTAGAACTAAGCAATATATGTTTATAGTGATAAAATATCAGAAATGAAGGCATGAAAAAATGATAGAACACAAATTAAAAGTATGTAAGTGATTTGTATGTAATAAAGTAAGGTATGTTTGATAATTTTGACAGAAAAATGCAGCTAGTTGTAATATTATAGACAATACAGATGAGTATGAATAATGGTCTGTCTTCCTATTTATATTCATGTTTTTGTTCACCAAACACTGCTCATGTGAAAATGTAGTAATGTAGAGTTTGTTTCTGCTCTTTTTCTTTTTGTTTGTTTTGTCAGTGAAAAATAAAAAATATATTAAAATAAAATCTATTCATACCTTTTAGGTTAAGTAATATTTTATTTACAAGGGCTTTTATATGGCATTGCCTACTTCATCAGTTCTATAGGGACTTTGAGCTACAAGCTGTCAGCTGATGGAATATTTATCAAGAAGTCTTAAGTCCCTTTTAAGAGTTCTTGTGCAAGCATTCGACCACCTGATTTCCTGGGCTTGCTGCTCACAGTCCCACTAGCATCTGATAAAGTAGACAATTACTACAAAAACTCATGTTCTGTAAATAAAATGAGTTAATCTAAAAGGTGCGACTGTATTTTCTTAATGCTATTTTCTGTAAAGACGGATACAGTTGCATTTGAATAATGTTTATGTATTGATCTGAGACTGCTGTACAAGAATCCTTAACTATTTCTTTTTTAGGAGAATAGTTCTGTTTCATGTTCTCTTATCTCTACCTATCTACAGCTCTTCTTTGTGTTGGATCCAGCTAGCTTTTTTAGTCAATCTCCCCCAATTCCCTTCCTTACTGTAACCCTTGTTCCACTTGGTTTTGGTATATTCAGGTCCCATGATCCAGAAGTTGATCCAGAGGGGACCCCCCCCCCTTTTTTTTAATGCACAGACAAGCTGGTTGGTCTTATCTGAAGATACCTTCCCCCACTCTGGACCTTAACCTTGAATTGAATACTTTGCTAATATTTCAGGTGCTGGGGCCATATGTGCTTGAGGAGGCTGTCAGTTTTCCAGAAACAGAACAAATGACGTTGGACTCCAGGCAGATGACACTCTGCAGAGAGGCCAAAGAAGAGGTTAACGAGAACCCCAACTCCCTGGGTAAGGATTCATGTGTCCTGTGCAGACAGGGTAATAGCTCTACAAGTCATATCACTGTCTGGGGACTTGTCAGTGTAGAGAGAAGAGAACTAACAGGCTAAATGACAGAAGTCTCTCAAATTATTGATGGGGTAGAGAAAGTGAGTAGAGGAAACTTCTTCTACTTCTCCCAGAGTACTAAAGCTCAGGGACATCCAGCGCAGGCCAGATGATTAATGACAGACAAAAATGGAATAATAAGAAGAAGAGATTGGATTTATACCCCGCCCTTCACTACCCAAAGGAGTCTTAGAGCGGCTTACAAACTCCTTTCCCTTCCCCTCCCCACAACAGGACTTTATAGGAATAGGACTTTAACAGGAATGGGACTTTATTGCATGGAATATGACTTCATTCCATGAATAACTAACTTATGGAAGTCACAACCATAGGCTACTAGTTTAGGTTGTTTTAAAAGGAGATTAGACAAACAAATGGAATAAATGGGTACAGCATTAGGGATATTAGCCACTGTGACTAAATTGAACCTTCATGTTTAGAAACAGTAACCTTAAGAATGGTGGGCAGAAAAAGGGGGTAGCAACAGGCTGGATGCTCTGCTAGTAAGCCTTCCGGAGGCATTTGTGTGGCCACAGTGAAAAGGATGGTGGACTAGACGGAACATTGGTCTGAAGGAGTGTGGTTGCCCTGACATTCTTCCAATGATGAGGTGTGTTTTAAATGTGACACTGGCAGGCCAAGAGGACTTAACTTTGCAACTTTTTCACATGTCCAGCATCTCATTTAATATGGCCACTCAGCTGCTACACATGTAATGCTGGCATACCAGAGATCCCTAGTCTGGGTGGGTATTGTGTTATCTGGCTACCATTGCACATGTGGCTGTTCTGCATGCACAGCAGCTCAGTTTACGTGAGATGTTGGCTGTGTTGCATTTAAGTCGGGCCTTATTAGCATGACTGCACAAGATTTTAATAAAAGGCAAACCATGTGATCAGCAAAATTGCTGCCGAATGTGAACAGAACACTGAATTCTCTTCCAGTTGATATCTCCACGCATGGAGAACTGGCACAGCAGACCGAAGGCTAAGCTAGGATCCTTCTTACTGTGCTTGCTCTCCACATGCAAGGAGCTCTGAATAGGGAGGGACAGTTCAGTTCTTTTTCCTGAATTTGGAAGTGACCACATGATTCAACTGCATGAGAAGATTAGTGAAGCATGAGCATAGTGTCACACCACCGCCTCTGACCTTCTGTGGAGGAGGAAATTGCACTTTGAGGATGCTGTTTGCATCTCTTAACTGGAATCTGCAGACCCATCCAGAAGTGCTTCTCCTTCAGTTCCATAAAGAGTATCTGTCATTCATCCACCTCCATCCCTGGCTATGGGGTGGGGGAGACTGCAAATGAGTTTTCCTATCTCTGTTTTCATCTGGGTATCATTTTCAGTTCCACTTCTCAGTTTTTCACTGTTGGCATTATCCAGGACTTCTTTCTTTTGCTTCCAAAACTGGCTGGAGAAACTAGGCCTTAACCACGTGCAGAATGCCTGCCCTTCACCGAGGCATAATCACAGCTCCTGTCCATATATTTAGGAAGGATAAGGTTGTGTGTGGCTTCCAGCACTTTTTGAGGGCTAGTGTCTCTCCCTTTGTGTATTAAGAGGTTTCATTGTCACAGATTTGCTGTGTGACTGAAGGTTTTAAAGCAGCTAATTGCTAAAGGAAACTGTTAAAATAAAATAAAATAAAAGTGGTTAATGGGAAATTCCATGTTTCAATCCCAGCAGAGGATGAGACCCCAACAAAAAACGAGGAAGAGTTTCTAGTCCAGGAAAGTACAAAGAGGCAAAGGAGCCGGCTCCTCCCTGGTCTTCAACCAGCTCCATTTGCCCGCCAAAATGCCGACGGCCTGCTGTCTATGAACAAACAGGCCCTTCACAAGCAGGAAGCACTGTTCCCGTGCCCCGAATGTGGGAAGAACTTTTCTCGTAAGTCCACCCTCACCAGACACCGGCGAGTGCACACGGGTGTCAAACCCCACCAGTGTTCCGAATGTGGGAAGAGGTTCCTTCACAAATTCAACCTGGTGAATCACATGAGGACCCATGTGCGAGAGGAGCCGAGCCGTTGTACACTGTGTGGGAAAAACGCACGGCGGAATTCAGGCCAGGCGGGCCAGGAGAAAAAGACTGGATGTTGTGAGTGTGATGAAAGTCTCGGGGCACAATATGACGTAGAGCAGCGGGTGCAGGAGAGAGAGGAGGCCTTCAGCTGACTTGAATGTAGGGTGAGGAAGAAATGTAGCTGACTTGAATGTAGGAAAAAAAACTTAGAAAATGCTCTGAACCCCAGGACGGTTGGCAGTCTTTTAAATCAGCCCCTCCTTCTGGTAATAATAAGGTAGCTGCCCTAAACACAGGAATGATGCTGAATGCTACCAGCAGCTCTCGAGCTGCATGTTTTTGTTTTTCTCATATGGTACTTGTGGAAGCCTATGGGGAGGGAAGAAGGGCAACAAAGTTCCAGTCTACATTTATAATACAATGTTATGTCCCTCCTGGTACCACTGTGAAGAAGTCTGGGCAAGGATCACTGGTGTGTCACATGCACATGACATACAGATGTGAATGGAACTAGTTAAAATTCCAGTTGCAGCATTTTTGTTTAAAGTGATTGGATGGCATGTGCCCATAGGCAGATTTCTGTCCAGAGAGAAGGATTTCCGCTAATGGTGCGTGATTCTCCCACCCTCAGCCTGAGATGGCCCTGGAAACCCCGTTCTTGGAGGACAAGGGACAGGAACAGGATTTCAGGGGACATTTCAGACTGCCATGGGATGAAGTGGGAAGATCATACCCCTCGAGCAGAAATCCTTGCATCTCTGGAAATGTCTGGATCCAACCCACTGGGTTTCATTCAAAAATAACAGGATATCAGATGGGAAGTATTATGTCTGTCTGTGAGCAGTGAAAATGTAAGGTTCGCTCCCAGTATTGTGAGCGCAACGTAACTTACGTGAATGCTGGTAAATGACATATGGGTCTGTGCCATCCAATCCTATTTTGGATACTTGATGATGTAGTCAGGATTCCATTTGCTTGGAGTAACTCCAGGTAAGGTATGGTGGAATAACACCTCAGAGGCCTTTTGTCCAGTGCTTCCTTTACAGTGTTTTCCCCCCCTTTTAGCATGACATATTAAGTATTGTAATGTAGATAAGGACTATTATACTGACTGTTGCCTTTTTGTTGAGCTCCTTTTTGAATAATGCCTCGATAAGAGGTTGAACAGTTTAAGAGGTGTCTTCCATTATGGTTGTTTGTATTAGGAATCCTCCTACCTGTAATGTTACTGGGCATTTTCCCCCTATAAATAATTTTAGGGATTATTTTAAATAAAGTTACTTACAAAAATCTGGCAAGGATTTGAAGAACCACAGCATTATGTTCCTGGCCCCCAAGAGAGCTTTAGGCTCATGATTCTCAAACAATAGCTGCCTTTGCTGTCTAACCATTTGAAACCTGTTTGTGATGTGGTACAGGAGGCCTGCTATTCGAAAGGGAGGAAAACATACAAAAATCCCACTAGATTAGATTTTTAGATCCCTGCCTCAGAGTTTGGGCTTGTTTTTTTGTTTTGTTTTTGGTACATGTTTGTCAGAAGCAAGTTTCTAGTGTCAAGTATTCCAAGGCCTTCTACACTACCGTTTTTAACCCCTGTGATACTGTTGATATACCAAAACTGCATGTTTGGGATTTTGCAGCGAACAGCTGCGTATGTACATTTTAGATTTTTTAAAGAAGAAAAAAGTTATGTTTTTGTATATTTTTATTAAAGCTTTATTTTTTGTAGTTTGCACATTAAAGTTTAATGTTGTAATAAGAAACTTTAGTTCCTGGTGTTCTGTTGATCGGGGAGGTCTAAAGAGAGGTGGGTATTGATAGTTCTTCGATTTGTTACTGGCTTTATTAGAGTACATACAGCCAACCTGATTCCAACAGCACTGAGCATACTGACTTGCTTAAAATATTCATATGCCACTTTTCTGCTTCATGGTCTCCAAAGCAGCATTACACGATTACACACACACACACACACAAATTAATTCAAATAGATGTGGTCATAGAAAGGCTTGACAATGAATGCAAAAGACATTGGAATCTAATTGCAAAGGAATAAAAAGAGTCCATCCATCTGTGGCAGGCATTAGTAATTAGAAAATAAAGCTGGATTCCTCAAAATTGGCCACTGGCTTCAGGTGGGAGGGGAATCAGAACATCCTGGCTTACCCAGTCTCCAGAAATCTCCACCCCAATTTTTGCACTGGAAAGCTATAGTTCCAGGTTCAAATCCCAACTCAGTTGTGCAGGTTAGGGCACCATATTGGCACTGCCTAATAGGTTTGTTGTATGGAAAGCCATGTATGTCACCCCCAGACACCTTGGAGGTGTGGTGAGTTAATACCTCAATAGACAGAAAGGCAGTAGCAGCCGCCTCTCCCATGGCATTTGGAGTGGTAAAGGGGTGGTCTCTAGGTGGCAGCCCTCATTCATTCATCATGTTGAACTAACACCAGTCCATTCCACACGTACAACTACGGGTGAAATCCCTGGGATCCATTCTGGTAGTGGTGTTCTTCCCTCTGGAGCAATGGGCCTTCGCTGACACAAGAGGCTCTTCTACACGAGCCAGCACAACGTTCCATTTGCCAAAGGGAAAAGAGCTGCCATTAGTCCATGGGCTTCATCCCAAACGCTTTCCCTTCTGCAACTGAGATTAATCATTGCTTTGTTCCCCTCCCCCAGGGGATACGCCGCCTTTTCAATGTGTTAACTTCAATCTGTAACATCATAAACAGTGGGTAGCTGAATGGGCTTCTTTTCTTCTTCCCTCTCCACCCCCTTCTTCCTTTAATATTACAGCTATCAGATCCTAAGCCATTACAGAAAATACTCAGCTCCTGACTAATTGTTTAGTTACTTAGTTATGCTTGACATAAATTGACATTCCTTTGGCAGTTTCCACACACATAAGACTGTTACAGCCTTGCCTTCTTATAAACTTTTATTTCTGCTCTTTTGTTAAGCATCAGGGAAGAGCTAAGCGTGATTTGCAGCCTTGCTAAAACACTGCAAGATTTCAGTTCTGTAAAGTGACACTGAAATGAATGGCACTGAGGGCCTTACAATAAATATTCTATTAAAAAACAGGTTTGAATTTTTAAATATCTGCCAAGTTCCCAAAGAAGTAATACCTGATGTAGCTGCTGGTTAAAAGTGGCTCAGGAAACAGGGAGCTGAGTCCATAGTGAATGAAGGAAGGAGATGAGGCATAAACTAGGATTTGGAAAGGAAAATGTGGTAGGGTCAAAGGACTGCCATCAGCGGTCTTCAGTCATTCCAGACCCAGGACCTGTTGAGCTGCAACGGCTTGACAGGAAGAGGGGACAAGCAGCAATTACAATCTCCACAGCAACAAAGCCAGGGCCATGGGAAGCAGCCAGGTACAAGGAGGAATATTTATTTATTCACAGAACACAGTTGAATTAGGATGCCAAATTTGCTTCTGTTTAGAGACGCACCACTAGAATAGATAATGGGCTGGGTTGAGACAACTTTTTCACTCAATCCTGTCCTAATTCCCTTCTTTACTATCACCACCATTCCACATGGTGGTTGTCCACTCTGGCCCCACATTCTCCAGCCTAGTCTTTTTGGCTAGTCAAAATGTTCCCCTTCTTCCTTTTGCACCAGCAGAAAAGCTGGTTGGCTACAACCCTGTATTTGCCCAGACTGTGCTAGAATCCACCTGGATATTCTTCTACACAAGCTCCACTGAAGTGAATGTGATCTGTACAAGGGTGCCATAATCAGGATGCCAAAGCCAGCCAGTGTGCCATAGCAGTCAGTGTCATACAGAGATCTGGGAGGTTCAAATCCCCACTCTGCCATGGAAACATGCTGGGTGACCTTGGGTCAGTCACACACACTCAACCCAATTTACCACACAGGGTTTTTGTGAGGATAAAATGGAGAAGTGGAGAATGACATTTGCAGCTCTGGATAACCAATTTGGGGGGGAAAGGGGAAGCATAAATGAAGTAAAACTGAAAGCCAGTTTGATGTAGTGGTTAAGTGCGCGGACTCTAATCTGGGAGAACCAGGTTTGATTCCCCACTCCTCCACTTGCACCTGGCTGGATGACCTTGGGTAAGCCGTAGTTCTGATAAGAGCTGTTCTTGAAAAAAGAGCAGTTTCTGTCAAGAGCTCTCTCAGCCCCACCTACCTCACAGGGTCTGTTGTGGGGAGGGGAAGGGAAAGGAGTTTGTAAGCCGCTCTGAGACACCTTTGGGTAGTGAAGGGCGGGGTATAAATCCAATCTCTTCTTCTTCCTCTAAATACAGAAACAGACCCAAGGCCCAGCTGCTGCTCACCTCAATGGTAAGCAGGGCTTTGTGTTTTGCACTGTGAGGTGACAGAACAATGCACAGAATTCGGCATCCTGAGAAACTCTGCCTTTTTACAAATGACGTCTCTAGTCCTTGTGCTGTGAATATAGACTTAAAAACACAAAGCCACTGCCTTATGTGACCTACCAAGGAAATATGATTCTTATTTTAGAAATAGGCTTTATTAAATTACTGGACAGGCAGTTCAAACAATAAAATATATATATATTTCCCAAACAATAGGTTCATCAGTGCAATGCTTCCCCAAGACCTTCCCATTTCCCACAATGCAATAGCATGGAAAAATTTAAAAAAAAATAGGACTGTCTGTCTTGGCTGTCAGCTCAGGCATCTGCATTCTGCCAACCTTGCCAGAGTCCCTGCCTAGGGTTTCTACCTAGACTGGTGCAAGGGCGTGGGATAATATGCAGGATGCTACTGATCCTCTGGCACAGAGTTCCAGTGCTGGGTTCCTCCTTGCCCTTTTGCCCTCATTGTGCCCGCTGCCCTTTTCACTCCAGTACCCTTGGATGGCAATCCAGTTCTGCAGAGTACTGCCACACCTGCCAACCAGGGCCATAGCGCCAGTTCTGATCTTTAGCGTCCTGGTAGCTGCACCAAAGATCCCTAGCAGGCTGGCGGCATTGCTCCCAGTTGTGTCATACCTGAGGGCTGCCAGTGGGCAATGGCCCTCAGACCCAGCTGCCATCATGGGCTCGTGCTCCCGATGTCCCTCAGCTCTTGATGAAAATGGCGATCTACCTTTTGTAGGAAAGAAACCTTCAACCGAAACTGCAAAGCAAGATTTGACATGCACGGAAAGGGTGCTGGGAAGACCCAGCTCTCTCACTTTGACACAGCCACTTTCAAGGGCTTGCCTGTCACCCAAAACATCTCTCTCTTTTTAGCCAAGCACAATGTCTTTTTCTGTCATGGACTGCACTCAAAGCAGCGTCCGCACCACCACCTCCAGGATCCTGGACCCATAAAGAGGACATTGCTAACCTGGAGTTATGGGCAGACCTGGAACCGCATTTGGTTTCTAAGATTTCAGCCTCTGATGAAAACTGTTTAAGCGATTCTGTCTTGTACCGAAGGAGGGGAAAAAAATATTTAGGTCACGATCCAACACGAATCATCCATAAAACGCAGAGATCTGAAAAGAGGAATTTTGTGCATCTCAGAAAAAGCCACATTAAGAACTGAAAAATATGACTGCCGTTATCTCCAGGCAGGGCACAATTCAAAAGTTAAATAGATGTTCTGAATAAGTAACCTTTTAACTACAGGCCTGCAGCCTCCACAGATTATACCTCCTTACATTGAAGGATAATAGCCCCTGCCCCTAATAAATTCGGCCTCTCCTTCTCACGCACATCCGAACCCCCGCTCTCTGCACAAAATCCTGCCATCTCCCACAAAAAACAACTCTTCCACCTCTTCCTAAGGATTTCCCCCACCTCTTCCCGTCCACCTCTTTGCTTCCTTGCCTCACCTTGCAACTTGCACAGATCAGCTCTTGCCAGCCCATGCACCGATTTCACCCCTCAGTGCAGTCACTACGGTCTCTGAACTCGCACCACCCCGCCTGTGCTTCTTAACCAAGAGCTTTTCCTCCCGAAAGCGCCGTAGAGAGTGGTCGACGTGCCTGTCATTCCTCTGAAAAGGAGGCGGGGCTAACCCTTCGCCCTCCTGCTCCGTCTGGGTCAGTGTGTGATTTTTTAAAATCCTGTACCACGTGTTGTTATTGGCGACGGTCTGTTGCCAACCCCTCTATTCCACTGATTCCCCCCCCTCCCCGCCGTCAGTGCATCTGTTTTGGTTGTCGGTCCTCGGCTGAAGGTGAAAGCGCTGCCGAGCACGTGCAAAAGACATCTGCTGACTGAGTTCCCTGTGCATTTAGCATCTGCACAGCAGGCAGGAAATCAACAAATGGAGCTTTCTCCATTGCGGCATTTGTATGGTGAGAAAACCCGCAAACCGGATTTATGTAGGTAATACAATTTGCATTGACTAGGGGGATACACTGGAATTGAAAAAGAGCTGGATTGAATGATGCCTAGATCCCTTCCATTGATAAATAAAACGTCCATAAAAACAGAAACACACACCCTCCTGGGTTACATGTAGGAACTTGCAAGTTGTTTTGAGCCTAGGGTTAGTCTCAAAACTCGTTGTTCGGTACAAAGCAGATTTTCTCGCAATTGGATGGCTACCGCCCAATCCTGCACACGTCCGAGGTTTGTTGATCTGTAGTCCGCCTTTCTCGCTGAGACCCAAAGGGGGGATACATCCCGCGTTTAAAAATGCAAAAAGAACAACTGAATGCATACCGCCAACATGCATTTTATGGTAAATCATCTCTCGCTTTAAAATAATTGTGTTGTTTTTTTTAAATGAGGTACCGGGTTTCACGAACCTTTCGGGGAAGCCATTCCTTAAGATCTGAAAATCCTTAACCCCCCTCCCCTTCCCAGAGGTGTGAGCTGTTACTTTCTCAGTGGGGAGGAGAAAACACTGTGCACATGCCCTGGGCCGGGCGGCATCCTCCCCTTACCCTACTCCAGACCTACTCCACTGAGAAAGATGTGCTGGACCTCCGCTCTTGTCATCTTTTCCTGGTTTCCGAGCTGGTATCTCCCCTCCTCCCTCAGCGATTCCGGTCTGTGATCACACATACCCCCAGCCGCAAGTCGTGCAATGCTAGCAACCGACTGAAGTGCTTTGCTGGAAGCTCCAGCAGACGGAGCTCGAGGCTCGCCCAGCTGGAATCAGCAAGACGGAGCGCCCGGGTTGGTTTCGCTGCGCGCGGGGGCCTGCTTGCAGGGGCAGGCAAAGATCCGGAGCGGCTAGAAGGAGGAGGGAGGCAGCCGGCCAGGTTCAGGTTACAGGTACGGGTCTGATCCGGGGTTGGGTTGCTGGGGGAACGGGGGCTCGGAGCCCAGAGATGGCCGGAGGTGCCCTCTGCAGCCGGAAAACCTTGGCGACGGACCCCAGGGCCCACGGATCTGGGCTAGCCTGGTGGACACTAACACCCATGCATCAATAAATGCACTTATCCTGTGCAAGCATAGACAGACGAGACAGATAGTGTATGCATGCGTGCATGCATACTCGTATGTGGGGGGGATTCACATTTTGAACATCTGTATGTATGGGTCAATTTAATGTAAACGGTAAAGGTTCCCTTGCTCGAAAGCCAGTCGAATCCGACTCTAGGGCTGCGGTGCTCATCTCCGTTTCAAAGCCGAAGAACCAGCGCTGTCCGAAGACGTTTCCGTGGTCATGTGGCCGGCATGACTAAACACCAAGGCGCACGGAACGCTGTTACCTTCCCACCGAAGTGGTACCTATTTATCTACTTGCAATTTCTTGCTTTCGAACTGCTAGGTTGGCAGGAGCTGGAACTAGAGATGGGAGCTCACTCCATCATGCGGCACTCGAGTCTCGAACTGCTGAACTACTGACCTTCCACAGCCTGCAGTTCAATATATTAACCACTTGAGCCACCGCTCACTGTACAGTAATTAAAACAATGTAAATTTGTCCTAATGTACAAGTACCTAAAAGATGCATTAAACATCAGGTACCTCTCTTAACCTGTGCCTATGACTTTTCAACCTGTCTGATCATCGTTATTTATTTAAAATACTCTCCCCAAGCTTTTCCTGACATTCAGAGCAGCCTGCAACCAGGCTTGCACACTGCAAATGTTTATTAATGTGTTCTCAACTTGGATCTGAAAACTGCAGTGCACCCCTTTTGCATGTACATCCCAGAAGCACGTTGTACCATTGGATGTCTTACCGAGTGCAGAGCTATACGGGAATAAAATCCTTACTCTGAAGCAAGAGCAGCTTCATAAAAGCAGAGGAACTTCCAGTGGTGTTATGGGCTTCAGTTCCATGCTTATGCTCTGTAATACCCTTGTATTTGCTACTTTATGCATGATTGTGTCTTTTTTTCCTTGTGTTTACTTCTACTCTGCAGGGCAGCAAGCCTCCTTAATTCACAGAAAAAGCATCTGCTTTAATAGGCATAGCATCTGTCTTGTCAGTGCTGCTTGTGATCCCTGGTGTAAAGTGAATGTTTGAGGCTGGGATGTAGTCTTCCAAGTATATTCTACTCAGCAGGTATTATACCAATTTTCTTATTTGTATTCAAGACTTCATAATTTACCTAAAAGATTGCACATTTTGAAATTCCAGTCCTTCCCATAAGAACTTAATGAACAAGCAGGTTCATAATACGATTGTGGTTTCGATCCAGCCGGCTTTTCCATTCAATCCCACCCTGTTCTTCTCTTTACTACAGCCTACTGTTCCACATGGCTTTTGTCCATGAGGCCCCCAAAATTCCCAGCATAGAGGGGTTTCTCTGTCCAAGTCAAAGGGGTCCCCTCATCTCTTTTTCACCAGCAGAAAAACTGGTTGGATCCTACCTCGTGTTTATGAGTTGGAGCCAACTAGCTGTGGTGGAGATCATGGGACCTACATGCTCAAAAGCCATGTGGGATGGAGACTGTTTGGGGTAATGGATAGGAGCGTGGACTCTAATCTGGGAGAACCGGGTTTGATTCCCCACTTCTCCACATTGAACTGCTGGTGTGACTTTGGGTCAGTCACAGTTCTCTCAGAGCTGTTCTCTCACGAGCAGTTCTCAAAAGAGCTCTTTCAGCCCCACCTACCTCACAGGAGGGGAAGGGAAAAGAGATTGTAAGCCACTCTGAGACTCCTTTGGGTAGTGAAGGGTGGGGTATAAATCCAATCTCCTCCTCTTCCTCTTCGGAAGAGAGCTGAGTAAGATTCATTGAAAAGGCTGGCTGGATCCAGCCTTATAAGACTCAGTAATTATGGAAGGAATTATTTTTCATTTTGTGGTGCTCTTTTTTCCACACCTTGGTGACATTTTATGATAAACTCGCCCTAAGGTGGTGAGTTGATTTGTGAACCTCTGCCTTTGGCAGGGGAGTTTTATTTGTTTCTTGGTCTCGAACTTCGGCATGTTCTCATTTTCTCCCTCTTCTCCTTTTTGTTGCAGTGAGACTGGCTTGAGGTTTTGTCACAGTCGCCATGGGGGACCTGGGTTTGGGCCGGGAGTTCCACACTTGGCACCAGTTCAGCACATTCATCGACGACTGGTGCGAGAAGCACAAGGTGCTCTTCATCGTCGCCAGCCTGAAGCCGCTGATCTCACTGCGCCAGAACCCCCTGCACCATCAACCCAGCCTGGCCGAAATCCTCCGCTTCCGTTTTGTGCGCCTCATCTGCAAGCACAGTGGGACCTATGTGGGGCAGAGCACGGTGCAACGCAACCGCCTGTAAGTGTGCTTTGGTATCTGGGGAGGGGTAGGAAATCCCTGGGAGCCAAGCCCTGTCAAGTGTCACATTGTGCCAAAACAAAATGGCAGCCTGTTGTGGTATAGGTCTAAGAATGTGAGCCAGGATGGCCCCCTCCTCTCGCCATGGCAACAAGCTGTTCAGGTGGCCTTTATAGCAATGGGAACTGATGCAATCATGTCTCTGAGGAGCAAAATATGTATGCATCAAACCTCAATGAAAACAAGACAGATGTTTTTCTTCTTCTAAACTGGGTAGGAATGGAAGGAAGGGGGGATTCCAATTTCTCCCCAAACAAAACAACCAAACCCTGGCAAGCCTGCTCAAATAAAACCTAAGTTTTGGTTTAAATTCATTCCCTTGATACTTTGGCATTCACGTAAGAAAAAATGGCTGCTACTTCCCTAGAAAATAGAACAGAAGACCCCGGAACAATGTCACTGAAGACTGTTTAGTTTGTGCTGAAGGATGGATGTGTACAGCTGTATGAAAACCTTTATATACCTTCGGGTCAGAGCGGTATATAAATCGTAAAACCTAAGTTTTGGTTTAAATTCATTCTCTTGATACTTTGGAATTCACGTAAGAAAAAATGGCTACTTCTTCCCTAGAAAATAGAGCAGAAGACCCCGGAACAATGTCACTGAGGACTGTTTAGTTTGTGCTGAAGGATGGATGTGTACAGCTGTATGAAAACGTGTGAAACCATGCAAAATTCAGCCATGCTTTTCTCAGTAAACCCTACACAACTGCTTAATCCTCTTTGCCTTTGTTTACATGAACACTTCTGAAGTTATAATCCATTTGTCATGTTTTTAATAACTGAAGTTTTGAGCAGGAGCAAACTACTTCAGATGCTTTTCATTTTTCCTCAGAGGCGGAGTGCGCAGTAGTGACGGTTGTGTCATTGTCAGTGTTCCCTCTAAGCTGAGTTTGTGTGAGCCAGCTCACAGTTGCAAACTACTTCAGATGCTTTTCATTTTTCCTCAGAGGCGGAGTGCGCAGTAGTGACGGTTGTGTCATTGTCAGTGTTCCCTCTAAGCTGAGTTAGTGTGAGCTAGCTCACAGTTTGTTAGCCTCCGGCTCACAGATTTTTGTCCTATCTCAGGAAGGAGGGCTCCAGAGCAAACGAATTTATGCAACAGCCAAATCGCTTGCTCACAGCTTCAATGCCGGTAGCTCACAAAGTAGAATTTTTGCTCACAAGACTCCACAGCTTAGAGGGAGCATTTGGTCATTGTAGGTCGAAGTTGAAGGTTTGGGTCAGCTGCATGGGCTGCCTCCTGGAGCATTCTGTTGCCAAGTGGACTGACTCCTTTTTTTTTTAATCTTCCCCCTTGCAGCAGTGAGAAAATCGACTGCCCAGCCTCCATCACACTCCGCCTGGGCCCCAAGAAAGACCGTTTGGTGGTGATCGAGGCCAACCTGGAGCACAACCACCGTCTGTCTGAGCTGGAGTTTGCCCTCCACTTCAAGCGACACCAGCTGAGAGCGAGCCTGGGGCTGCCCATCCGCATCACCAACAGCATTTCCAAGCGCTTCCTGGCACCTGATCTTATCTGGAACCTAGAGGACTATAGCAAAGCCAAAGACAAGGGCATGTGCGAGCTCTTGGCCGTTCTGGATGGACTCTTCAAGGCAGATCCAGCTGCGAAAGTTAAACTAGTGTTCCAGGAGGATGTGGCCATCCTCAACAGCATCTTCCTGGCCACCTCACGCATGCGCGAACTGGTGCAGCGCTTCCCAGCCCGCCTTTTCCTGGAGCGTGCTGCCTGCCTCAATGCAGACTTTGAGCTCTACACGGTGCTGTGCCAGGATGCCAATGGGCGTGGGCGGGAGGTAGCCTATTGCCTAGCACGCCAGGGGCTGCCTGACCTGCTCATATTCATTGTGGCTTCATTGGTGCAGAGTGCCCCAGACATCAAGCTGCAGGTTAAAGTTGTGACCGTCGGGGGTGGTGTAACAGGCCTTGATGCTGTAGAGGAGGTGCTGCCGTGCGCCCGGGTGCAGATTTGCCGCCTGCAGGTCTTGGAGACGCTCTACCGCAAGGCCTGTGAACTGGCTGTCCCCAAGGAAGACCAGATACGCAATCTGCTGCTCAACCTGGCTAATGCTGATTCGCCACGGGTCTATAGCCAGTATCTGAGTGACCTGGAAGATGTGGCTCCACTCTCCTTCCTTCAGTACTTCCTGGAGCGCTGGCACCCCCACAAAGGTATGTGGGTGGAGTGCTGGGCCTTTGAGAAGAACCAAGAATGCCCCTTCCTTGACCACCTTAGCATGCACCGCCGCAAGCTGCTGGCAACACTCAATCTCCCCATGGCACTGGCCGCCTGTGTCCAGGGTCTGTTGGACCTCCAGGCCCTGCACGTGGAGACCTCGACGCTAAATGTGGCACCAGTGGTTGAACTATACCAGACCGTCTGCCCGCCTGACAGTGCTGACCTGGTAGCTGAGGAACTAGACCTGGTGCCCCATGCGCGCTACGAGCTCAAGGACACTCCTGACGGGTACCTCCTGGAGGGGAGCACCTGTTCCTTTCTGGTGAGCCAGGACCTGGCCACTTGCAGCTGTTCTATTTATATGGCTCACCAGCTGCCTTGCCGGCATATCTTCGCTGCACGCCTTTGGGTCGGGGAACCCCTCTTTGACCCCAGCCTGCTGCCCCACCCACTGGATGGACATCAAAATAGCACAGGACAGGAGGAGTGCTAACCAAGACACCTGTTGGACATCTGTCAGCCCAAGACAAGTGTCGTGGGCATTGAATGGTGGTGTACAGACCTGGTAACTGCCTCAGACAATTATCAGGGACTGTTATCAGTCCGGGACAAGGGGAGACATTGCATTGCCAAACATCTTGGGTGGTCCAGTCGGGGATAGTAGGACTGACTGCTGACCGGCCATTATGAGACCAGGCTGATGTTGTCCATCTGTGTGCACAAGGATCAGTGACTGCTAAGAAACCTCATTATCACTGCCAAGATCTAGAACTGGGTTGCCATGACCTGCACCAGTTATGCTGGGTCTGAGAAAAGGGAACAGGAGCGGGTTCAGTGCAAAGAGCATTCCTCGTTTGCTCACATCTCCAGGGACTTGGTTGAAGCTCAGCGAGCCACCGAGGGTTTTGCATTTGATTGCTGTTCTGCAAATCGTAATCCAAAAGTTCTTTATCCGGGAAAGCAAAATTCTGCCAGAAGTCAGTGAATAGAATTGAGCTAGCTTTTTCATTAAATCTTGCCCTAGTCCTATCTATTACAGCCCTGTAGTACAGGAGTTTTTATTCATGCAGGTCTCATGATCCCTAGCGTAGCTTTTTGGTGGCCAAATGAAACCCTCTCCTTCCTTTTTCACCAACAGAAAATCTGTCTGGAACCAACCCGTTCTCTGCACTTCGGGGGGGATCAACATTCTGCATTAGGACAATCCAAATGCATTTCAGAGGAAAGCTGAATTTCTTATACTGTACACATTGAGCTGCAGTGGCTCAAGTGGTTAAGACGCTGAACTGCAGGCTGTGGAAGGTTGGTAGTTCAGCAGTTCGAGACCCAGGTGCCGCATGACGGAGTGAGCTCCCGTCTCTAGTTCCAGCTCCTGCCAACCTAGCAGTTCGAAAGCAAGAAATTGCAAGTAGATAAATAGGGACCACTTCAGTGGGAAGGTAACAGCGTTCCGTGTGCCTTGGTGTTTAGTCATGCCGGCCACATGACCACGGAAACGTCTTCGGACAGCGCTGGCTCTTAGGCTTTGAAACGGAGATGAGCACCGCAACCCTAGAGTCGGATTCGACTGGCTTTCGAGCAAGGGAACCTTTACCTTTACACATTATACATCATGTACCTTAATTCTTGTAGAGGTTGGTACACCCCTGTTGATCTCAGGTGCACCTAACTCTGCATCTATGTGAGCTATTTAACCCATTTTATTGTTCTGCATGATCTGTTTTACTTCTGCTAGTTATTGGAAGCAACAAAGAATATGCAGGTTGCTGAAAACCTGCCTCCTGACCACTGATAATCCTGCTTAACCCTGTGCTCTCCTTTAGCTATTTGAGCTTCTCCCCATACGCTCTGGATGTTGCATTTTATGCCCCATATTTTTTTTAAATCATGTACAGTGCAGTTCTGAGAAGAATTACTCCTTTCTAAATCCACTGAAGTCAAGTTCACTGGTGATTTTTATCTGAACCAACCAAAATATCACAAAAAAGGTGTGCAAGCTTCTGAGTCAGCTTACATGAAAAGTTTTCTCCCTGCCCCATTTTTTTAACATCCAGCCTTATAAAAAGAACTAACATCATTGTATGATAACTTAACTGGTCCAAATAAAAAAGCATTGGGCATTAAGAAAGGAGGGGTCCCTTTTGACCACCCAGAAAGACTGTGTTGATCATTATGGGACTTGCATGTATAAATGCTATGTAGAAGAGGGGCTGTAGTAAAGAAAAGAATGGGGGGTGAGTCTGGAGTGAAACAGGTAGCTGCATCCAACCTATTATATGGCTTTTGTTTCAGAATTTTGTCTTCAAACCAGTGGAGCTACCTGCAATCTGTGCCCACTGTTAGTCTGAGTACATAAAGAATACACACAGCCAGTATTCCCTCTAAGCTGAGTTAGTGTGAGCTAGCTCACAGTTTTTTAGCCTCCGGCTCACACATTTTTGTCTTAGCTCATGAAGGATGGCTCCAGAGCAAACTAATTTATGCAGTAACCAAATCACTTGCTCACAACTTTAGTGCCAGTAGCTCATAAAGTAGAATTTTTGCTCACAAGACTCCACGGCTTAGAGGGAACATTGCACACAGCCCTAGGACTAAGCAGTGCATCTTAATACAGAACTTCTGACATAATGTTGGATTATCTGATCTAATAATAAACCCACTGATTTTGTCCTACTTGGTTGCTTGTACAGATTCTGTCTGATGTACTTTTCCGGAGTGTAGCCCAAGCAGGGGAAGTGTGATTGAGATTAAAGAACATTGATGCATATGTGAACAAGTAAAACAAGTTTCATTCTAAATCAGGTGCCCAGCACGGTGCCCATGGGTGTCACTGTGTCCACTGGCATCTTTCCTGATGCCCACCAAGGGTGGGGTTTTAAAGTGTTCGTTAGAAACTGAGTAGGGCCAGGTGGGGCTTTTGCCTGGCAGGGTTTCTGATTGCTGGAGATTCAAAAAAACATTGCTTCAGCAGCAGCTGCCACCACTGCACTAGGATCTTTACTACATGACTGAAGATAACGTGTGTATATGCAAGAAAATATTTTTCAACAGTAGGTTTATTTCAGAAGGTGTCCTGTTAAACAGAGCTTCTACTTGAAAAAAATTGAAGAGTTACTATTAGATTTATGCATGACCTCACTCAATAACAGTCTGTGGTTGGCTCTGCCTGCTGTTGCAGTTAGAACCATTTTGTGGTTGCGCCCACTGCCCTCTGTCAGAATTCCAGATGTGCCCACAGGCTCAAAAGGTTTGGTGACTGCTGTTCTAAATGACATCCACAACAGCTTTTGTGGTATGAAATGCCAGAACTCTAGCATTCCTGTGGAAACAGAGAGGTTGGCTTATTTGTGTGAGTGATTTCCAATTTGGTTCTTAGGTCGAACTCATTTGATTTTAATTTTTTTTTTTAAGTCTTACAAGATCTGGGAACCAATGAAGAGGCTATCTTATCTGGCTGCATAAACTCACTACCCCTGGATAAGATGTTTTCAATTTATTCACAGCATCACTTACCCTGTTTCCCCAAAAATAAGACCTACCCAAAAAATAAGCCCTAGCAGGATTTCTATGCATTTGTGGTATAAGCCCTAGTATGTCTTCTTGAGAAAAAATAAATATAAGACAGTGTCTTATTTTCGGAAAACACGGTATATCCTGGATTCATCAGTGTGACAGCTGAATAAAAATGATTTCCCAGTATGAACAACTCTTGGCAAGTTTACTTCCTCTCGTTTTTTAAACAGTTTCATTTCTGGCCACAGGCTGTAACTCCAGCAATATATGTTTTATTGGGATTAACCAAAACACCTCAAAATTATGAGGAAAGTTTTGAGTTCCTCAGAACTCTTTGTCAGCCCCCCATTGCTCAATATTATATGTCAAAAGTCATTTTAAGAGAGAGATGTAAATGCTTCATGGTGGTTATCCCGTGCGAAGCATGGCATCCACAACTCTACAGAAGGAAAATTAAACAGAGACAGGGAAATTAAAGTATCTCCACTCTCTTTGCTTCGCATCGAATAAGACTACATTCCCCAAGATCCTCCGTGAAAAGGTTAGCCCAGACAGCTTCACCGCTCGGTCAGCAACATTAGGACTACATTTCCCAGCATGCTCGAGGAAAAAGGATGAGGTCTTTTAAAGACGACACTTCTCGGCGTGCTGTTATTTGTCCACTTTGGCAGGCGCGGGCCATGTGACGTTGCTCACTGTCAATCAACAGATTTCGCGCGAAAGAAAAAGTACGAAGTCTGGTAAGGGGAGGGAGAGACGTCGAAGAGGCAACTTGAGGGTCGCGCCAGGTAATTCCCCTCACCCCACCACGTCCCTTGCAGGGGCTGCTGAGGGAACCTTAGCGTCCGCGGGGGAGTTGTCGGGAATAATCTCTAGTGTGCGAGAGCGCGAGATTATAGCCCCTTTCCTGAGGGAGTGGAGGAGAGAGCGCGCGCGAGAGGAAAATGGCGGGAATGTCACAGGCTCTCTGGCTCCTCACGTAGATTCTGCCCCTCCCCCTTCCAGCTGCCCCTTTTCACACACAGGAAAACAGCGAAACCCTTCAGTGGTTCTACCTGGAGCTTTCCCGACAGGTGGAAGTGGAGGAAGGAAAGGGGGGGAAGATATACCCCTTGGCTTCTCCTCTGCCCCAAGTGATTGTTTCGTATTTGGTGCTTGTCTTCGTTATAGTATCATTGTTATTTCCCAGCATTTGCAAAGGGAATGTCGTTAACCCATGGTTCACGTTTCACAAGCAGCAGTCATTTAAACCTACATAACCCAGTGTTCGGGAAATGTTGCTCGGTGAAAGAGTGGGATAGAACTATAATTGGGGAGGAATAACAGAATGTATGCACCAATTTGTATTGATAAACAATTAAAAAAAAAAAAACCACCTACTTCTCAGAACATTTTTGAACATGAGGCCAAAAGGTGGCCCCGAGTTTCTCACACTTAATGTTTTTGTGTGAATGTTAAATAGTATATATAAATACCATATTAAAACTGAACTACTTAATTCCTGTAATTAGGACTGGGGGGAAACCCTGGAGATTGCAAAGTCTTTGGTGTGTGGCAGTGCCTTTTGAGATCTCTGTCACTGAGGATGAAGAGTTTCAGTTATCCCCACAGAAGTGAATGGCAACACTTTTATGTGACTGAAAGTAAAGGAGTGCAGTTAGTATACTGTTGTGGTGGGGGCTAAATCTGTTCCCAGGGACCAAAAGCAAGTCTACAGTTGTTTACAGCCCTCCTGGCGCAACATAAAAGTCCAAAAACAAATCAAAATCCATGTAATATCTTCTGTTAGGACCAGCTATAGTGACACAAAACTATGCTGACTTTTGCGTTCTCCAGAACTTTTTCACAGGCTGAATCGGGAGGTGGAAGGTTCTCCTTCTTTGGAGGTTGTCAGAGGCTCGAGGGCCATCGGACAGCAATGCTGATTCTGTGAACTTAGGCGGATCGTGAGAGGGAGGGCAGGAAGGGTTGCATCAGTGCTTAGTTCTTGTGACCCTTTCTTACACGCCCAGGGAAATGCTGATCACCACTTTGGGGTCAGAAAGCAATTGTTCTCCAGGCCAGTTTGGCTGGAGATCCTGGAGGTTTTTTGTCATCTTTTGGGTGTGGAACAGCGGTCACTGGGGGTGGTGGTGAGGAGGTATTTGTGAATTTCCTGCATTGTGCAGGCAGTTGGACTAGATGATAATGGAGATCCCTCCCAACTCTATGAATGTTATAAAATAAGGGGGGGGGAGTGACATTTCAGGCCATGGTTTTAAAGGCTCCATTCCAGCCAGCAAGTTAGAACTATATTAGTGCCTTTCGTATCAGGCAAGATTCGCCAATTTTTTCCCCCTGTCGTGTGCATGTATATGATGCAAAAAAGAGGGTTCAACCAATAGTCGGGGGTGGGGGGGGGGAAGCAAAACAAAGAAAAAGTTTGTGTATTGGGAAAAATAATTTAGTTGGCTTGACAACCCCTATACATTTCGCCTGTGCTTTGTATAAATATAAACAAATCGGAAATGTGATAGATACATGTATCATCTAAAGCATACAAATTTAAAAACAAATGTTTAAAGAAAGTAGTAGCTAAACATGTTGGAACTTGTGTACTAATTGATCTTTCAAATTAAAGGTTCTCTTAAATGTGATAATCGGGGGGGGGGGTCTTGCTTTGCAGAAAACCCTTTTTCTACTGCAAGCTCAGCCTTCCAATAACCCACTGGAAAAACTTGATATAGGTATCCATTACCTGCCAAATTTTAAACTAGTAGCCTCTTTGTGGAATTCTTGTATATTGGGCACAATTTCTCCTAATCCTTAAAAAATGACTATATGGTAAATTATTTTTAATGTGTAGTGGATGGTGGCTTTTGTATCTAAGGGCAGAATTTTTATCAGCTGGTTTTTTTGTATAGTCCTGTATAGATCTTCCCAGTGTGATACTGTAACCACTAGACTATGATTGGTCTCACAGTCTTGTTGTGTTTTGGGAAGTTGCTCAGGCTCCTCTGTTGTACGGCTAAAGGCAGTTGTTGTGCTTCAGTGGTAGAATGGCTGATTTGCATGTAGAGGGTTCCAGGCTGAGTCCCTGGAATCTCCAGTTCTAGTGATGATTGATGTTAGAGACCTGTCTAAGACTATGCTGAGCTGCTGCCAGTCAACATAGACAGTACTGACCTTGACAGTTTGAACCAGTTTCAGTCAATTACTCACCTGCTCCCTCTCCCTATTTTCCATCAGTTGTGGCCTGTGAGAGAACAAGGTCTAAAAGGTACCCTATTCCATGAACTCCACTCTCCTTGCCTTGCGGAACAGCCCTGCTGAGCTGTTATCCTGACAGCAGCTTCAATAGCATCTTTTCCCAGACATCCACAATGCAGAGCACAATCAGGTAAGCGCCAATTTGATAATATGGAAGATCTTGAAGTTTATGTTACAAAGCCAAAACTTTGTGGGAGCGATTAAAATTGCAAATGTGGAAATACGTTTTCTTGGGATGGACACTGTTGTAGTTTTGAGAAGAATTTTATTTTTCGTATGTGTGTGTATGTGTGTGTACGCACTTGGAAGTCATGACTGCCTCTGGTGACTGACTGTGTCCTGGAAGTCATGGGGACCTCTGGTGACTGCATCCCCACAGGGGGCCTGGAGGATATTCCAAGAGGTGCTGAATAAAGCCTGCCCCCGCTTCCCAACTGCTGGTATTCCAAGGAGGTCTCCCATCCAAGTACTTGCCAGAGTTGGCCCTGCTTAGCTTCTGAGATCTGACAAGATTGGGCTTGCCTGGGCTATTCAGGTCAGGGAGAGAAGAATGTTTTTAAAAGGCCATTTGCTTTCCAGATAACTTCAGAAGTAGGTAAAATGAAGGTATTTTTTAAATAGACTACTAGATAAGTATTTTAAATGTTAGGAAATATAAAATGTAAACAAAGAGTGCTAGGAAATATAAAACACACACACACACAATACTAACATGAAATATGTCTGTATTTGTAAGTGACTTCTATAGCTGAATCTCTAAGGAGTAGTGAAATCATCATCCTGGCCATTTCTCTACCAATATAATCCCCAGTACCAGGGAGGGGGGTAACTTTTTGAACAGGGGTGCTGCCAGATGTATTGTTGGCCTCAGCCCTATTGTTGCAAAAACTGCATTGAACTCTGCACTTGTAAGTATAACAGGAAAGTTCATATAACTGTTTGTTTCTGGGCAGATCATTCTTCCAACCTCTAGCCCAAATAAAGCCTGGAAAAGAGACGGCAGAGAATAAGCAACCAGAAGATAAGCTGACCCCTAAAAAGTGAGTTACCTTGAGCCATGGAATGATCTGTTGACAAAACTGAGTAATTTGCACCTCACCCCTCCATTCTTTTCATGCAATCTGAGAGAACTGGGATGTCAGATTTTGGACCAAATGCTACCAGATTCTGTATATTCACAACCAAACCTGTTGGTGTGTAGAGTGCACACAGCCTACCTATTGTAGTCAGAACAACTGTTTGCTTTCCTCTAAGATTGTTTAGTTATATTTTTACCTCCATAAAATCTTCTGCAATAGTTATGGTTGGAGTCACAACCTTGACTGAAATGGCCTAAAGCTAGAAAGCTTATTCTGGGAAAGACACAGTGGGCAGGTTTTTGCATTCCTGTTCAAAATATTACAGTGCCATATTGGAGGCACTGTATATATGCCCAAAGCAAGATTTGCTTTTGATCAGTGTTGAGGTAGGTTAATAGAATCACTATAGAGATGTCTTAAATAAGAAAGTAACAAACAATAAAAAATAAAAATGCTGTTTGAAATGAGAGTCTTGGAGAAAATGTTAAAAGTACGCATTTCCAATGGTTGTGAAAGACCTAAAACTCTGCTGAAATAAGTTGTTACTCATCCTTCCAGGGAATTGCCTGGTTGGTAGCCCTTATTGGGGGGAAGGTTAGTGCTTTGGCCAGTGGAACATGACAGGAAGACTTGAAATGTGAAGCAGCCAAGAAAGATGTCTGTGCATATAGTCACTCATCCTCTGCTGAGGACTGTAATGTATGCCTGCTAAACTTTTAAAAGAGATTGAAAGACTTTAAATTTATTCTAACTCAAGTAGTCCAAAGGTTTTAGTAATGGGTATTTCTTTTATGTTTAGGTAGCTCTGTATGTATGGCGAGGGAAGGGGGTAAAGGCACAGTGGTGCTATTGTAAAGTGTTATTGTTTTTGAGGGAACCAAAAAATTCTGACCAGTTGGTGAATGGTACGACCCTCCATGAAGATTCCTCAGAGAAATGTGTAGCTGAACAAGCCACTCAGAACCTTAATGGTGGAGGTGAAAAAGATTCTGGGAAACCAGGAGGAAGAGATACAAAGGCAGATGATGCAAACCAGGTAGGCCCTTTCCTGTTTTGTCCTGATCTTTGTTGAACTAACCAATTAGGTGTCCATTTTCTAATTCTGTAGTGTAGATTTTTGCCTTCTCTTTCCAAAGCAGGAAGAATTGTAATCCTAGTTTAGCTACTTTCAATTTCCCCCAATTTTGGCTGTGATTTATGCATTGAAGACATAAGCAGGTCTCATTTTCTTTTTCTGGAAACTGCACCAAATATCCTTGTAGTGTTTCTTCCTTTTTTAATTTAAGTTACCCTTCATGGTGAGTAAGCCTAAAGTGGACTACTTAGAGGTAAGTCCCAATTTATTCCATGGGGTTTACTCTTAGGGAAGTGTTCTTAGGATTGTGGTGATGGTTTTCTTATCTTGCTCACTTGCAAGCATGCAACACCTTAAGAACATAAGAGAAGGCAATGTTGGATCAGGCCAATGGCCCATCAAGTCCAGCACTTTGTCACACAGTGGCCAAAAATACCAGGTGCCATCAGGAGGTCCAGCAGTGCCCCACCCCCAAGCACCAAGAATATAGAGCATCCCTTGCCCCAGACTGAGAGTTCCTATCTATACCTTGTGGCTAATAGCCGCTGATGGACCACTACTCCATATGCTTATCCAATTCCCTCTTGAAGCCGTCCATGCTTCTAACTGCCACCACCTCCTGTGGCACTGAATTCCATGTGTTAATCACTCTTTGGGTGAAGAAGTACTTCCTTTTATCTGTTCTAACCCGACTGCTCAGCAATTTCATTGAGTGCCCATGAGTTCTTGTATTGTGAGAAAGGGAGAAAAGTACTTCTTCATTGATTTATACAGGGGCATTATGACACTGGCTGATTTGTTTTCAGTTCCCTTCCTAATAATCCCCAGCATAGCGTTGGCCTTTTTAATTGCAGTTGCACACTGTCTCGACATTTTCAGTGAGTTATCTACTATGACTCCAAGTTCTCTCTCTTGGTCAGTCTCTGCCAGTTCGGACCCCATCAACGTGTATTTACAGCTAAGATTTTTGGCTCCAATGTGCATCCATTTGCACTTGGCCACATTGAACCCCATTTGCCACATTGACGCCTACTCACCCATCCTCGACAGATCCTTTTGGAGTGCCTCACAATCTTCCCCGGCTCTCACCACCCTGAACAACTTCGTGTCATCTGCAGATTTAGCCACTTCACTGCTTACTCCCAACTCCAAATCATTAATAAACAAGTTAAAAAGCATCGAACCCAGTACTGATCCCTGCGGTACCCCACTGCTTACCACCCTCCACTGAGAAAATTGTCCATTTATACTCACTCCAGTTTTTGATCCAGAAAAGGACTTGTCCTTTTAGTAAAAGGTTCCCTTGCTTGAAAGCCAGTCGAGTCCGACTCTAGGGTTGCGGTGCTCATCTCCGTTTCAAAGCCGAAGAGCCAGCGCTGTCCGAAGACGTTTCTGTGGTCATGTGGCCGGCATGACTAAACACCAAGGCGCACAGAACGCTGTTACCTTCCCACCGAAGTGGTCCCTATTTATCTACTTGCAATTTCTTGCTTTCGAACTGCTAGGTTGTCCTTTTATCCCGTGACTGTTGAGCTTACTTAGGAGCCTTTGATGAGGAACTTTATCAAAAGCTTTCTGGAAGTCAAGATAAACAACATCTATTGTCCTCCTTGTCCTCATGTTTGTTCACTCCCTCAAAGAACACTAACAGGTTAGTGAGACAAGATCTTCCCTTACAGAACCCATGTTGAGTCTTCCTCAATAGTTTTTGTTCATCAATGTGTCTACTAATTCTTTCCTTAATAAGTTTCCACCAACTTACCCAGTATCGACGTCAGACTGACTGGCCTGTAATTTCCCGGATCTCCTCTGGAACCCTTTTTAAAGATGGGCGTGACATTAGCTACCTTCCAGATTACATATTTTTGTCAGGAGATCCACAAGTTTACATTTGAGTTCTTTCAGAACTCTTGGGTGTATGCCATCCAGGCCTGGTGATTTATTAGTTTTTTAAGTTGTCTACAAGTCGTAGGACCTCCTCTCTCGTCACCTCAATCTGACTCAGGTCTTTCAACACCCCTCCCGAAATCAGTGGTTCTGAAGAGAGCAAGCACTTCTCATCTTCCACAGTGAAGACAGAGGCAAAAAATGCATTCAGTTTCTCAGCCATTTCCCTATTATCCTTCAGTACTCCTTTTACCCCTTGGTCATCCAAGGGCCCCACTGCCTCCCTGACTGGTTTCCTGCTTCTAATGTTGGAGTGTTGTTTGTTCTGTCCTCACTTTTTGACCTTGCAGTTCTGCCTTTTTAGGAATCGGACTGTGCTCCTGAGCAAAAGACACCTGCAGAGAACATCTCCCCAAGCACCAGCCCAGTTGCCTCTAATTCACCTTCACCTTCCAGCATTCCCCGGCGCAGAACTGGTAAGTACTCACCCTATTTGGCTTTCAGGCAAACCAGGGATTGTGAGACTTGGTCACGGTCTTCACATGAGTCAGTAGTCAGGTATTTATCTGGTTGCTGCTTTACAGCTTTTGTTAGCAGTCAGAATCCTCCTTCTGCAGAAGGACAGTTAAGCATTTAGAGAGAAATAGAGACATAAACACCTTTAATGTCACTGACTGGCTAATGGCCCCCTCCAAGCCCCTAACTCTAGGACAGTGGGTCTTTGAGGACCTGTTGACTCATACCTGGACTAATCCCATCCCTCTGTTTACACTTAACTGAATCAAGTGACAATTAATCAGTACTCAGTTCTATTAACCCAACCCATTAGCACTTTCCATCCAGTACTTACAGGGTCATCAAGCCTCTCCTAAATCATTGTGCATCCCCGGTAAGCCCATCAAGGTATTGCTTTGGGATAATGTCACCACAGCCTTAGAGTCCGTTTCCCCCATGATTGTGGTACCCTCCTCCATAGCAGTGTGTGTGTGTGTTCTTGGCCATACTCCCACTTTGTGGGTTCTCTTCCCTTTGTGAAATGCTGGCTGTTTTGCTGCTGCTTCCTTGACCTCTGCAAGCTTGGTAAATATTACCCTTCCCTGAAAAAGCTTTCCCTCTTTTCCCTCTGATTTCCTCTTACTTAGGTCTTGTATGTATGTTTATGGTCTGCATTTTTTAATTCTTTTAATAAAAACCCTTCCAGTTGAACATCTGCCTGGTTTATTTGAGAGTTCTCTTAAAGGGAAAAATCACTGTATACATAGGTGGAGAACCCCAGTTATGCCCTCTCACTCTGTCTCCTTAAAGCTAATTCCCCCTAACTAATTAGGAGACCATCTATTTGGGTAACACTTTGGTCTTCTGTTTAGAATAGCTGCAGTTAAGGTCCTGAACGTAGCTGTTAAGGCAGCTTGTATCTCAGTGAACTTGTATTCCAGCAATAGACCAGCAAAGTGTAGTATCACCATGACATTCAACAAGATTTGCCTCTGCCCTCAGCCCGCAAGCAGCTCCCTAAACGTAAAGTGGAGGAAGATGATGGCAGTCAAGACATCACTCAGAAGGAGATGTGTGCCAAAAAACAGAAAACAGACAGTGCTGGGGAAGGTGAGTGCTTTCTGAGGGTTGTTTGAAAGGCTGGAAAAGGACTAGAACATGAAGTGGTAAGATAAGAACACAGTGACATTAGGGCATGAGAGTGGGTAGCATGGTGGGAGTATTGTCCACCCTGAAGATGAGAGGGTATTCCTGCCTGCAAGGTACTTTGACAGCCAGGAGGAGATGTGTAGGGGCAGTTGTTGCAGGCAGCACTATTTCACATCTTCCCATTTTTAATCTTGTTTGGATCGCTATGCCTACTAAAATGTAATGTGTGCAGCTGCCTTTACATCCAGAGTGTGGTGTATAAACTTTACTTCTATTGACAAGACTCTGATCTTGGATTGCCTTCAGCCCTTCCCTTAGCCTCCCAGGCTCAGACACTATTCCCTGTACACTTGCTTCATCATAGGAACCTGTACACATCTTACAGTGCAGTTCTATGTGAAGCCACTTCATTCTCAGCCCTTGATTTCAGTGGACTAAAGTACCTGAATAGGACTGAATCATTAGACTTTACCTGAGTCAGAAGCAAACATTCTGTGGCCCTACGTTTGGGTGGGGCCTGCTTTATGCAAAAGAAATCCAAGCACTTGTTTAGATTCTGTTGCATACTTGGCACTTGCTCCTTGTGTAGGCTCAAAAGAGGAACCATATGAAAAGCCAATGGAAGCAGAAGACATGAAAGAGGAGGATGCTAAGATTGTGGAGGTTAAAACTGAAAAAGAAGAGGAAGCAGAAATAGCAGAAGCAGAGGAAGAGAAGATGCTAATACCCTCCAAGCCATCCAGCAAACCCATCTCTAGTTTTTTTGGTAAGGGAGGTGTGGCACTTTTTGTGTGTGAATATGTGTGCTTAACATATCCATTAGGAATGTTCTGTGGCATATGGGCACAGCTGAATATATTGTCTCATTCCGCCTGGAACTTGCTATGTGATATTGATACTGGATTTCTGAAAATATGAGAATTTATTAGAACACTTCTAGCTAGCGTGGTTGTGGAAAGAGATTTGGAAACATGCACACAGGACTAAGAAAAGACATTACAGTGTGAGAATAAGGATATTTTATTTGCAAGTATCCCCAGCATAAATGGAACCAAGACTGGGAGACTAGTATACAACGAGTGAGTCTTGCAGGGCTTGGGAGTGGTGTTCACTCTCTGCTTTCGATACCTTAAAAGTGGGGAGGGAGGTTTGAAGAGCCTGGCTACAGCATGATCCTTCCAAAGTTTCAGACTTTGCTCTGGTACCTCTGAGGGGTTTTTTTTAATGATGTCCACAAATTCATCAAGCCTCCAAAATGTGATTTCTGCATTTATAGGGAAAGTGCCACATTTGTTCCTCTTTCTCCCATGGTAGCCCCTAGAAAAGCTTCTGTGAAAGCAGAGAAAAAGCAGACACCTGCGATGGGAGAAAACATGCCTGCACAAAGGAGCCACAGTGAAGTCAGTAGCCATGAGTCTGGCAGTGCAGCTGCAAGGTAAGTGATCTTTTTGGGATTTGTGTGACCCAAATGTGAGAAAGAGAAGCTGTAAAAGCATTATGTCCATACAAGAAATTTATTCAAGTATTGTATACAAATATTGCTACTCTGGACTGGGTGGGACATGATGATAGCCTTTTTTTAGTACAATAGCTGTAACCAGGGGTCATTTCCTGCCGGAGCGCCCCAGAGCGGCGCTCCGGCAGTAATGAGCCCAGGCCCCTCCCCCTCCCGAGGGGGGAGATTGAAATGCCTGGCTTCCCTGCGCGCTGAGTGCCCCACAGCTGCGGGGCTGTCACGATCCGCTGGGCCGCCGGTCGCCAACCTCCCGCTGGGTGCGCTCCCTCGGGTTCAGCACACCCCTCCCCTTTTTGGATACACGTTGGGGGCAGGAGCCGAGGACGGGTTGTTCAGGGAGCCGGAGAGTAGACCTCAGACCACGGGGTATGCAGAGCGATCAGCCTGTCACTCTTGCCCGTCCTGGGGTTCTGGCTTCAGTACCGGTCTCTCGGTAACACAGGACCTCCGTCTTTCTCTCTCTCGCTTTCTCCGCTTGTCCCTAGCCAGTCCCAGACGCGTCCTCCTCGGCCGTCTCCTGGCTCCATTTTTATTACCCCCTCGGCTCCCGATATCCCTCTTGCTCCCTGGCCCCGCCCCCCTTCATAACGAAAGACGCCGGGCCGCTTCCGCCGGCCCCGCCCTTGTTCCCTCGTGTGCGGCGAGGCTCTTCCCTGCCGCCTCCGAGCGGGCCCACTTCGCCGCTGCACCGTTCTCCTCCCTCCCCGTTGAGTGCCTGCCTGCGTCATCTGCGGCCGAAAACTTGGTGGTGGTGGTGGGGGTAGAAGACAATATTTTTAAAACATAGATTAAGAACAACCAGGGGTCATTTCCTGCCGGAGTGCCCCGGAGCAGCACTCCGGTAGTAACGAGCCCAGGCCCCGCCCCTCCCAAGGGAGGAGAATTAAATGCCTGGCTTCCCTGCGTGATCTCCTCCGAGTGCCCCACAACTGTGGGGCACTTGGAGAAGATCGCGCAGGGAAGCCAGGAAGGGGAGCCGGGCAGACATGCCCTCCTTTCCCCCTGAGCCTCTCCGCTTTTGCAGAGAGACTCAGGAGGGGGATTTAAATGCATGGCTTCCTGCCAAGGCGGGGTGGGGGGGAGCGAAGCGAGAGGGGGTTTAAAGTTTAAATCCCTTCTCTCTAGAGTCGTGCAACAGTGGCGGCATGATCTTTCCATTGTATTCTATGGGGCCATAGAATATGCGGCTCTGGAAGGAAGGGGTTTTAAACCCCTTCTCTCTTTGCTTCCCCCCCACCCCGCCTTGGCAGGCCAGCTGGGGAAGGAAAGGGGAGGCTTTTGAAGATGCCCCCGCCCCTTTTTTGCTTCCCCTTCTGACACATTTCCGGTGATGTCAGGGGGCGTGGCATATGCTAATGATTATGCTAATAGCAGGTATGCTAATGAGCTCCTGCACCTCTTTTTCTACAAAATGACCCCTGGCTGTAACTGTTTATAGTGAAGGGGTTCAGAGACTGCAGGCTAAGCTTTCACAAAAGTTGGGGTTTTTTCTTTCACTTTGTTTGTAGAGGAGCTGGCCTAGATTGCTGTTCGTTCCAAAGCAGAAGCAACCCCCACCTACTATGCTTATCTGTCTTCTTTCTTTCATGAAGGGGGCATTAGCAATTAACTAGTAAGGCTGGCAGATATGCCAACACCAGTTGCTAGTGTATTTTAGTTTTAAAAATGTAGTGGGCTTGTAACTTACTTCCAACTGCTTTAGAATTTACATGGTAACCGCTCTTCAACTAACCAAGTGTCATTTCTGTTTTTATAGTTCTCTCAGCCCATCTCCCACAATTGACCCTGCAGATTATAACCCCACAAAGAACAACTATCATCCTCTCCATGATGCTTGTTGGGGTCCTGGCCAGAGGTGAGCGTAGCCAAAGTGGGGATTCATCTGGCAAAAGGCTATAATGCTCAACCATTGCTTCTGTCCTGCTTTTGCAATCTGAATAGCACACCCCCCCCCGACAAGAACTGTTAAAATGATCCAAAATTGTGTAATGTGTATAGCTTGCTTGCACTGGGTCAGTGACTTGGGAGGGGTGTGGCTTTCTCCACAAAATGCCTTAGGTAACTTGGTCCAGTCATAGGCTGATTACCTTTTCTCCACTTGTTTACCCCATGCTCTGGATCGATGATGGGTGGGAACACATGACGTTCTTATTCGTAACTTTGGGATAAAGGGATGAACTAAATAGCCGTTTGGAGACCTTGTGATGCTCTGATTCTGTGACACCCCCCATTTCTGTCCCAGGACCAGATGGTATAAGAGTTCTGAAGAGCAGTCGGTGAAGTCTGTGTTCATTGCTGCTGGTCTCTGCCGTTTCGCTTCATAGCCCTTAGCCACGGTCTTTACCTCTGTTTCCCCCAACAGGGTACCATATCTGGCTGTGGCCCGTACCTTTGAGCGGATTGAAGAAGAGTCTGCCCGGTAAACTGACTTACTAGAATCTTTGAAATATATTGTGGCATTTTATCCTGTCCTTTTTTAATCACCATATTGTTCTGTTTCCAGGCTGAAAATCATAGAGACTCTGAGCAATCTGTTTCGCTCTGTGATTGCTCTGTCTCCTGAAGACTTGCTGCCCTGTGTGTACCTCTGCCTCAATCAGCTAGGCCCAGCGTATGAGGGCCTAGAGTTGGGCATTGGCAAAACCATCCTCATGAAAGCCTTGGCTCAGGCCACAGGTGAGCTGGCCCAATTTTTGATGAAAATACTATCAAACTGTTACACCAATAAGTGCTTAAAAGCTTGCCTGAAAGCTAACAATGTTCAGAATTAATAGGTCTGTGACCAAGAAAGAGCCTTATCATATGGTTCATGAACATGTGACCCTTCCTTACTCTGTAGGTCGGCAGCTGGACCAGATCAAGGCAGAGGCAGCGGAGAAGGGGGACCTGGGTTTGGTTGCAGAGAGTAGCCGCACCACTCAGGGCACCATGTTTGCCCCGCCCAAGCTTGGTGCTGCTGTTGTCTTTGGCAAGTTACAAGCAATTGGGCGTATGACAGGAAGTTCTGTAAGTACTTGGGTGAATGAGCCTGGAAGGTCAGGGGACAAAGCCCAAGAGAGTGTCATCAGGCTCACTGAGAGATTTCTGAGTTCCTTGTTTGCCTGTGACAATGTTCAGCTTGTCCTGTACTTTGATATAATGGGTCAGATATGATTTCTTCCCCTGACTCCAAGGATGTGTGGTGTAATGCTGACTCTGGGAAGGCAGGGATGCAACAGCTCTCAGACCAAGCAGATAGGTGGTTTTCCCTAAGTCCTTGTGGTTGTCAGCTCTGCAGCTGCCATGGACGGAGAGGGGGGATGCTGAATGCTGGATAAATTGCCTCCGTCTGTTTCTATGGAATGTTTAGTTTCTCTTCTCCCTGCCTCTGAGTCCTTATTGCCTTTTAGTCTGAGCTGGTGACCTTGGTGCCTTGTTCCTCTTTCTCCCTGGGAATGCTTACCCATTAGCCTAGGCGGGCTTTTGCGTGACTCCTGATTGGCCCCAACCACCCACTGACCCTTTTGATTTCTGTATATCACTAGCCTGCGCACGCTTGCTTTTAGTTCTGACAATGAGTGTATGCTTAGAAGACCTGCCTTTACAAACCTTTTGAAGGATCGTAGTTGAGGACTGATTGCTGTGGAACTCTGACAGTGGTTCTGCCTGCTCTTGCTGCAAATGTCCTGCAAAAGAGTTGGGAGGAGTGGAAAAGAGTCCTTTGGAGCCTTCAGGGGAATTAAGGCTGTGATGATCTTTGGAAGCAGAGCTGTAAAAAACCACCTGTCTGAATCCCTTTGTCACACTGATGTTAATGGACGTGTAGGAAGAGCCTTTTATTGTGAACTGGCTATCAATATATACCACTGGAAAAAAGCTTCTTTGGCATGTGCAAGCCTTCTGTTCCCTTTCCCCAGCCACTCAGAATGCATCTCAGCTCACCCCCTTTTCTTCCCCCTTTCAGTCCATGAACAAGAAGATTGACATTATCAAGTCCTTGTTTGTTGCTTGTCGCTACTCAGAGGCTCGCTATGTTGCTCGGTGAGTATGATATGCTCTCATTTTATGTGGCTGCTTTTGTTCTCCCAGCCCTTGCCTGTCAAGAACTTTCTAGCCTTCTGTTGCTTTCCTTAGATTTGTTTTTCATTCTACCCTTCCTTCAAGGAGATCAGGGTGTTGTACATGGTCTTTCTCTCCTCCCAGTAACCCTTACAAGGGTAGACTAGGCTGAGAGAGAATGACTGTCTCGAGGTCACCATCTAAGCTTTGAGTCTGAGCAGGAATTAGACTGAGGTCTTCCTAGTCTGCCTAAAGCTCTTATCGCTACATCATACTGGCTGTTCAGGTTATCTGGCTGGCAATTCTCAAAAATTTCCCTGAAACCATACTATGGCCCCGGTCACATGGGCTGGATATCGTGGGGGGGGGGGCTGTTTTCCCCACAGCGAAATAACACGCGACTGCGCGATCAGGCGTCCCGTCGAGGTCCCGTGGTTAGGGAGGAGGTGCCGATCACACGATGCGCCAAAGAAGCGGCACGGCAAATGGGGTTGTGTTGTTGTTTTTTAACCTGAAGTATGCACATGCCCCGTTGGGTGCTTGTGCGCATCCCTGGAGACTTTGGAAAAAAAACTTTTTCGCAATGGGGCATGGGCGGGCGCCGGATGCCACCGGAAACGTGATCAGGCGCCCGCCCTTGCCCCGCGGTTTCCGGAAACTAGTACCTTCGAGGTACTAGTTTTTAACCGCGCATCTTCGGAGGGAAGCCTCGGGTTCGCCACTGGAGCTCTACGCTTCCCAGATGTGGCGGTGAGATCGCGCCCGGAAAATCCGCCTATCTTCCATCGCAGTAGCGTGGCTACTGCTCCGTGTGACCGCAGCCTACAGTAGTTTCTTTAGCAGTCTTTTCCTCACCTCTACCCATTGGGTTATTTCCAGTATGCAGCACTTTGCTTCTCTGTTCAACAAACACAAACCCATATCCTTCAGTCCAACTTTTTAATGCTCTAATGAAATCCTTTGTATGTTACAGATCACTGGAAGGGAAGCTGCGGATTGGGCTAGCAGAACAGTCTGTCCTGTCAGCCCTGGCCCAGGCAGCATCACTTACACCTCCAGGACAGAGTGAGTAGAGGATGCTGCTAGACGGTGGCAGTAGTGCATGTTCATTGGAGACTTAGGGGGAGTTAACTGGTGTGCTGCCCCTGGGTCTGGTTTCTCCTGACAGCATAGTGTAAAAATCTGGTGACAGTAGGTGTCTTGATGATGTGTACAAGGGTTCATGGGCAGTCTGGTACTATCTGCTTGAAAGGGGTGTTTGTGTTCTGTGGCTAGCCAGAATAAATATACTGTTTATGGTTCCAAGCATAGGAGCACAAGAGCACCCTTGCTGGATCAGACCAAGGTCTGTCTAATCCAGCTCCCTACAGTGGCCAAACAGATGACTCCAGACAGCAAGGCATGGAAGCCCTGTTGTGCCCACAGCAACTGATCCATTGTTTCTGAGCATGGAGGGCTAGATGCTTCCTTTTTTTAAAACCATACCTGAGCCCAACAATAGATCTATGTGCTTGCATAGTAAAATGTACAGTGAAATCACGAAAATGCAAAATGTGTACATATGTGTGTATTCGTTCCATCAACAGAATTCCCCCCAATGATTCTGGATGCTGCTAAGGGGAAATCTGCAGAGGCGCGCAAAGCCTGGCTAGAGGAGAGAGCCTTGATTGTTAAGCAAGCCTACTGGTTAGTAACATTCTATATTTTCTTTCCACCTGTTCCCACACCTTTGTTTCTAGAAGCTGCAATATCTGAAATTCTAAAGAGAATAAGAGTATCCAAATACCCTTCTGAATCAGCAGCCTAGGGTTATGAGCATTAACAGACTTTTGCAAGAAGTGGGTTTGGAATTTGATGCCTTAGACTAGAGCAGCCACCCACAGCAGCAGGAGTGGATCTCGGTTATTCTGTTGTTTGTTTTTTCAGTGAACTGCCAAATTACGACACCCTTGTGCCTGTCCTCCTAGAGCATGGTGTGGAGAACGTGCCTCAGCACTGCAAGATCACACCAGGTATCTGCAGCATTACAAGAACTGGAAGGCAACTGATGTAACAGGAATCTGAGCACAGAATGATGCACAAAATACTGTCCAGCACAGAATAGGGATTTCTAAAAATCTTTTACTTTCATTTTTTTGTGGTAGACTTCATGATTATTGGCTCAGATTTAAAAGCATGTACATATATCCTACGGAAAAGGCTCTGGCACCTTCCATGAACTCTTGGATGCCATGCTTTCTAATTGCTTAACTATATCAATTGGCTGTTTTCCCATTATCTTTACTATTCTTTCTTTCATCACAACTTCTTGATAAGAATGCACACCAACATATATGTTTTGGGATAAAGCTTACAGGTAGTATGTATTTATGCATAATGAGCAGTTCTGTATACATTTATACCAAGAGCATGATAGAGATTTTGCACCAAAACAGCTTAAACTCTGCTCAAACTGGAAAAGATTCTTGGGCAAGAAAATATTGGACATCCTTTACCCATTCCTCCTTACCATCTTATGTGATCTGAGTCCTGCACTTTACATGGTTGTGAGCTAGATTACTGTATCTTTTGAACTCAGAGACTGGGTCTTGCAAGTCATAGTTTCATGAACTTTTCCATACAGGGATCCCATTGAGGCCGATGTTGGCCCACCCAACCAAAGGCATTGGGGAAGTCTTAAAGCGCTTTGATGAAGCAGCTTTCACCTGTGAATACAAGTATGATGGGGAACGGGCACAGGTAAGAATTTGTGGTGCAGACCTGGTAGAGAGAAGCTCCTGTTCCCCTTTCCTCTTTTAGTTCATTACTTTTTCCATCTTTGCAGATCCACATCCTGGAGAATGGGGAAGTGCACATTTACAGCAGGAACCAAGAGAACAACACATCCAAGTATCCTGACATTGTCAGTCGTATCCCCAAGGTGCATAAGGTTTTGGAACTGTAACATGAAGGGTGGGAATAGAAACCAGTGGCATCACTATCATTAATGATGCTTTTATTGGTGTAAAATTACTGAGGCTGGGATCTTTCTGCAATAAGTGTCACAGCTAAACTGAGCTCTCTCCCTTGCCCAGGTGAAAAAAAGCACTGTGCAGTCATGCATCTTGGATGCAGAGGCTGTGGCCTGGGACCCAGGTTCAAAACAGATCCAGCCCTTCCAGGTACTGACCACCCGCAAGCGCAAGGTAAGTTCTCACCACTGGATTGCTGTACAAAATGATTCCTTGAGTTGTTTGCTCCTTTCCCCCCTACCACCTCCTTGGGCCATAACACTATGACAGTGAGACAGAATAATCTCAGAGAGGGTTTAGAGCAGTGGACTTGATTGCTTTGAGAACAGATTCATCCTCTGTGAACAAATTAAAGGACACATAGAAAGGATATTGCTCTTCCAGCAGCAGTTTGTGGGCGATTGTAAAAAATCTGAGGAATATGTAAGCTTAACAAACAGAAATATTTGAAAGAAACAGTGAATGAAAACAGCTCTTGTGTTCTGTTGTGGAAAATCTTGACTTCCTTGACTTCATCAATATTTTCCAGGATGTGGATGCTACAGAGATCCGAGTGCAAGTGTGTGTGTATGCCTTCGACATGCTCTACCTCAATGGGCAGGTAAATATAGACATTCTTCCTTACATATGCACATTTGGTGCCTTTAGTCGTAATGCTGTTTTCAGTCTCACCTGCCTTGTGCAGTTTTCCTGCTGCTCTGCTTTGAAGCTTTCCTCACCCCACTGGGGTCCCTCTTCAGTGCCTGCCTTTTTAATATGTGATTGTGTGTGTGTTCACCCAGTCATTGGTCCGGGAGCCCCTAGCCCAGCGCCGAACTTTGTTGCGTGATTCCTTCACTGAGGTTGAAGGCCAGTTCCTCTTTGCCACCTCCATGGATACTAGTAACACCGACGAAATAGCAGATTTCCTGGAGTGCTCCATCAAAGGTATTGTGGAGGAAACGGGGAGCTCAGTAATGACTTTCCTTCCCCTTTATTATTTCTTTACAACCCCAGATGCTAGCTGAGTCCAGATTGTACTGGGGAGTGGATAGAGTAACAAGGCGATTTTTCTCATTCAGACTCATGTGAGGGGCTGATGGTGAAAACATTGGAAGTGGATGCCACGTATGAAATTGCAAAGAGATCCCACAACTGGCTGAAGGTGAGAACTGAATACCTGGGTAGAGCAGTGGCTGGTCACCTAATACACCAGGTACACCTAGCCTGCTTGAGCAACAGTGACTTGAGCAGGGTCAGTGCCGGTGTCCCCTTTCCCCAGAAAACTAGACAGGCTTTTAATGTAAGACTATTTCTAGTAAATACTTCTCACAGAGACATGATTTATTGTATTCTGTCCCGTGACCATATTTTGGAAGCACCAGGCCTATTGCTGCTGTCTAAATTCAGGTTTACTCCTTGTACCTGGAGATGTGTCGGTTTCTGCTTTCTCCGATGGGTAACTGTTCCCTATTCCAGCTTAAAAAAGATTACCTGGACGGTGTTGGGGACACACTGGACCTGGTGGTGATTGGTGCCTACCTGGGAAATGGCAAACGTGCAGGCTTCTATGGAGGCTACCTCTTGGCTTGCTACGATGAGGAGAGTGAGGAGTACCAGAGCATCTGTAAGGTGAGGCATCCCCTGGCTTATCCCCAGCATTAAGAGCATTTGGGCACTTACTCCCTGTCCTGGGGACGTTTATGGTTCTGCGATGTACACCTAGCCTGATAAAATAGTGACTGCTGTCGCTGGTAGAAGAAGGAACGTGGATGGGTTGGTTTTCAAAAATATGCACGGGGTGGCATTTGCAAAATAAAATTGATTGGTTTGTACTTCCTGTACTGTGTCCAGCTGATGTGTTTGCTAGCCCTGCAAGGCAACACTTCCCAGAGCAAACCACTGTTTGATTTCTAACAGCCATCCCTCTCTCTGCTCTCAGATCGGCACTGGATTCAAAGATGAGGTCCTGGAGAAACTTCATGCCTCCCTCAAGGTAGGCCCTCTTCTCTGCAGTCAGGCACCATCCCTTCACAGTAAATAACTAGTCAATGTATATGGGATAAGGAGTGGTAGAGATGATGGGAGCCCACCCTCCATAGATCAGTCCTAGTTCTTGATTTTGCAAGAGAGAGAGAGATCAGAGATTTACTTCCCTGATTAATTTTCTTTCTAATTATTTGGAGACTGCAAAGGTACTTGAACAGCAGAAACCAACTCAGCAGCCTGCTCCTAAGGAGTCTCCTGTACAGCCGACAGGAGTTGAGTTGGCTACAATGTGTTGTATTGACTGTCTGGGGCTTTGGCACCTTCCTAGGAGAGGGCAAATATAGGTTACCCTCATAGTGTGGAGGGCTTGTTTTGCAGAACGGGGGAAAGAAAGCAGTCAGTGAAGAAAGGGGTCTTAGCCATCAGGTTGTCTTTATGTTCCACTGAGGGTAGAACCCAGGCTACTATTCTGTTGGCTGTGTTCGCATTTTACAAAGAAAAGATGGAAGCCAGGGACTTGAGTCCTGCTACTGGAGGGAGCAGACCAGGGAAAACCTGTAATCATTTGTTGCCAAGGTAGGAAGAAGACTGGCTCTTGGGAGGAAGGGGAAGGTGACTCTAAACCAGTGCAGCCTTCAAACAGAAGACTTGGCCTTTAGCACCCCATGGCCTGGACCACTGGAAGGGGGAAAGTAGGGAGAAAATGTTCTGCCTCCCATGGCTAGAGAGTGATAGCATATCCCATCTCACATTCTCCAGTCATCAGATCCTAGAAAATAACTAAGTTACGCTGGGGAGCATTGGGTGCACATGCTGCATTGTCATGCTAATATTATTCATCCTAGTCTATCTTTTGTAGGACCATGTGATTCCGCAGCCACGCCCATACTACCGCTGGGGTGGAACAGCTGAACCTGACCATTGGCTAGAGGCCCAAAAAGTCTGGGAGGTGAAATGCGCTGACTTATCCATTTCTCCCGTTTACAAGGCAGCCACTGGTTTGGTGAGTGACTGAAAAGCTAGTAGGGAGAGGTACATGTATAGATAGAATTATAATATGGATAGTTAATGTACATGGAGAAAAGAAAATCTGGTATGTTAGTAGCAAGTAGTAAATCTGTATTGCAGATTTCAGGACACTGAATTATTTTTGAATGGAGACTTAGCAGTCATTTGCACAGTTGCTGTACTTGCAACCATAGCTGCCAAAATTAGGACAAATTTTATTACTATGCTGCCAATATAATGCAGTTTGGTGTAGTGGTTAAGTGCACGGACTCTAATCTGGGAGAACTGAGTTTGATTCCCCACTCCTTCACTTGCAGCTGCTGGATGACCTTGGCAAGCCATAGTTCTCTCAGAGCTGTTCTCTCAAGAACAATTCTGGAAAGAGCTCTCTCAGCCCCACCTATCTTGCAGGGTGTCTGTTGTGGGGAGAGAAAGGGAAAGGAGTTTGTAAGGCGCTCTGAGACTCCCGAGTGAAGGGCAGGGTATAAATCCAATCTCTTCTTCAGACCACATACTGTCTTACTGCATATTCCAGTTTTTGTGTTTGTAACTATTGTGGTAGCTTTTATTTTAGTTTTACAAATAATGCAATTACTGTTTTAGACATTGGCTGCAACATATTCACAGCTGATGTGTCTGAAACAAGTACGGATTTAGTTCCTAGATAGTAGAGTACACTTGATCAGTTGCTATATTAGCAACCTGCCGTCAAACCTGTGAAACTGAAAATCCTTAACCAGTTTTTCAGATCTTGATCGCTAATGCATTTTATGTGTGGTTCACCCTTGACACATACAGTATACTTGTTTATGTAGATATAAATATTTCTACATCCATTGAATTGCAGTATCTGAAATGGCACTGAGGCCATGGTGTAGCTTAACATAGTAAGCTGGTGGCACTACCTTACAGAAATCAGTGCATCCAGATCCTTCTTTCTTGACTAAATCAAGTCTCTGATTGCAAAAGCTGTTACGGGGAGGCAGCTTGAGAGCCTTTGAGGCAACACTTTCTTTACCTGTCTATATAGCACCTGTGCACAGGAGCTATTGGGAAAATTACCTTGGATATGGAACTGTATGCAGTGGATATTGCAGGACTGAACCAGCTTCATGAACTAATTGTCCTTCTGCTGTAGGTGGATGAGGAAAAGGGAATTTCTCTACGCTTCCCTAGGTTCCTCCGTATCCGGGAGGATAAGAAACCGGAAGAGGCCACTACCAGCATCCAGGTATAGAGGTGGTGGGACATGAAGTGTAGAATTACCAAAATAAGTAAACTGACCGTGTCCTACAGCTGTGTAGAGAACTACTGCTTCTTTCTCCCCTTTTTACCACCCTTGTATTAATCACTGGTAATGGGGGGGGGGGGGGTTAGATTACATTATCTTGTCCCATTTGGGACTAGATATTTGCTATGGTGAAAATGCTTCAAAGAAATATGACAGGTACACTAAGGAACCAGCCTTCCCAAGGACTTATGCAGCTATAAAGACTGTGAACTGGAGGGCAATGGTAAACGTCAGGGTAAAGGTCAGGCAAAAAGTGGGGTCTCGGGGCTGACTAGGACCTGGGACAACTAGGTTCAAATCCCTCGCTCAGCCCTAGAAGCTGACCTTGGGCCCATCACACTCTCTACCCTCATTAACATTGTTATTATGAGCATTAAGTGGAGGGAGAAGAAGCGATGTGAAAAGCTGCTTTGGATCCCTGATCAGAAAGAAAGGTGGGTTATAATAAAAATAACAATAACAGTTTTAGTATGGTAGGGAAGCCATGAAAACAGAGACTGCTGCCCCACAATATGTTTCTTTGGTTGCAGGTGGCTGAACTATACCGGAAGCAGCAGCAAATCCAGAACCAGCAGTCAGTGGAAAAAGGAGATGGCGATTTTTACTAGTAAAGGCATTCATCTGGTTGGGCAGAAGGTCTCCTTTCTGCTTCTTCCTTGGGATGAGGCTGTGGAGCCCCTTGGGCCTGCTTGAGGCTGGGACTTATGAATGCAGCCTGCCAACCTACAGTGCTTGAGTAGGAGTACACTGAAACTGGATGCTGCCTTTCATTACAGGCACTGGCTTATGACATTCCACTGCCTTCCATCCATTTACCCAGTGGCAGGCTGGTTTTGAGTTGGTGATGCTCTGTTAATAAATGTTTGGTGTTTCCCAACTTGTTGCCTGGCTTGCAGCTTTGAGGTACTTTGCATCAACTTTCAATCACAATTTGACTCAGAGTGTGTGTTTAAAACAATGTTTATTGGTGCATAGTTGAGAAAAGGTAGCGCAAAAAAAGAAGTGCTATGGAAGTATACATACAAAATAGTTATCTCACAGCCTTGGGACTGTGTCTGGTACCTGATAGAGGGGAGAAAGAGAGAGACTAACCCCATACAGCCTATCCCCCTGAAACCCCAAGCCTATTTCCAAAACTGGATATTCTTGGGCCTCTCTTACCTCAGCAGGTCCCACTTTCATCCAAATGAAATCCATCTACCCCTCATCCTGACCTACACCGTCTAGCAGCCCCACTTTGACTCTGCATGTCTCTTGCATAGTTCAAATACTAGCCACCCATGTCATATAGACTACTGATTGCCAATGCCTCCCAAACTTTATACCTACATGCTTCCTCCAGTCTTGTTTACATTCAGTGCCCCCTTTAAGTTTTTTTTCCTTCCCTTTTGGAGAAGGAATCAAAAGAGAATTGGGGTGCAGCTCCCTTTCTCTAGGGGGTGGTGCGCAGGCGCTGACTCCGTGCCTTATAAACCTCAATAAGCAGGTCTTTGACATACTGGATCTCTCTCTCGATCGAGTCTGCTTTCTCACGTAGCTCACGGTTGCGTGCCTCTAGGGCCTGGCACTCGTCCCCTAGTGCCTCATGTTCAGCCCGTTTGCGCTGACGGTACCGCAGGGCTGCTGTTTTGTTCTGGTCTCTCTTCTTCTGGCGCCGGTCCCCCTTTGGTGGTAGGGTAGGTGGGCGCTGTAGTGGGACAGGTACTTCATTGCCCTGCAGGGGAATCTCAGCAGGCACATCTCTACCATAGAGCTCTAACAACTCTAAGCAGCTCGAATCCAAGGTCTGCAAGGGAGCGGGTGTGCCGTGGTGCTCCAAGGGTTGGAAGCCATCACCAAAGGGAAAGTGGAAGTTCCCGTCGGAAGGGGGTGTGCTGGGCGCTACCTGATCAGGAGAGAGCGACTCTTCCAAGAAATAGTCCTCCATCTGCTCCAACTCCTTCTTGAGCAGTGAGGCCATGGCCTCCAGGTCCGGAGTAGGAGGGGAGGGCAGTGAGAGTAGCGAGGGCTCCCCTGACACACTCAGGAGCGTGGCCAGGTCTGTGCGCTCCGTCATCCAGTCTGAGTAGCCATCACCTGCAGACAAGCAGCAGCAGCGTCAGTGGTGGACAAGCAAGCAAGGGGCCTGTAGCCAATACAGGATTACCTGGCTCAGGAGCCATGCCATCTCGTGTTGTTCTATTAAGATGGGCGGAAAGGCAGAGAACAGAAGTGCTTCCCAATCAGTGGGAGCTCTCTCCAGTCCCTGCTGCTGTTCTTGAAACATAAACTGCCTTCCAGCTTTCATGCTGTCCTCAAACCATCACGAGTTTTTTTAAAAAAAGAACTCATCAAACCTGGCACAAAGAGTGGGGCTGTGGGGTGGACATGAGAAATTTCGAGACGTATATGTTTTAAAGGCCTTTAGACCTCCACTATGTTTAATTGATTTTTCTGGCTGTTTGACAGTGCCACTGCCGTTTTAATAATGAAGTGAATAGTTAGTTTCCCTTTGTTCCGTGTCATGGGGAATGACTGAGGAGGCACTTTGACTCAGTGGCCTCCAGAAGGTCACAGGGTCAGTCCCCCACACTTCCAGGTAAAAGGACTATGCAGTAGATGATGTTAAAGACCTCCGCCTAAGACCCTGGAGAGCTGCTGCGCGTCTGAATAGGTAGTACTGAAGTTGGTGGACAGTGGTATGATTCCGAATAAGGCCGCTTCGTGTGATCTACCTTTCATAGTGTGATCTCCCACTTCTGAGCCTGGAGACACCCACCCCCTCCCACCACCACCACCAAATTATTCACCTGTCAGTAGTGGGCGCTCCATACTGAGAACAAAGCCCTCGTCTACAGGTCCGGTGAGCAGCTCACAGTGACCGGCGTGGGGCAGCCGGTGCTTGAGCAGCTCCGGCCTGCCGGGCATGGTGCTAACTGGGAGCATGGTCAGGTCGAGGTCCAGGGTCAGTGCCGCCAGCAGAGACATTGTAGTGATGGTCGTTCACGTTAGACGCAGGATTGGGATGCAGCACGCAAGGAGGGGCTCGACTCCTGCAGGCAGGGATGGCGGTGGTGGCAAAACGAGACCTGGAGGAGGAGGGAAATGGTAAGGCAAGAGAGAAATCCATGCTGCTTGCTTTGCTTGTTGTAAAGAGAAGTTGTGCTCTTCAGAGTTAGCTGTCTGTAGGGGGAAAGAGCTGTGCATTCCAGAGTGGTCTGTCACAGAAAAACCAAAACGGATTCTTATGGCACCCTAAAGCCTGACTACAGGTAGCAGAAACATTACCCTTCAAAATAGCACCAGAACTGCATTTTTGCAGCTTTTCAGCCGGGGAAAGAGCTGTGCATTCCAGAGTGGTCACAGAAAAACCAAAACGGATTCTAATGGCAACCTAAAGCCTTGCAGGCAGGGATGGCGGTGGTGGCAAAACGAGACCTGGAGGAGGAGGAAAATGGTAAGGCAGGAGAGAAATCCATGCTGCTTGCTTTGCTTGTTGTAAGAAGGAGGAGTTGTGCTCTTCAGAGTTAGCTGTCTGCAGGGGGAAAGAGCTGTGCATTCCAGAGTGGTCTGTCACAGAAAAACCAAAACGGATTCATAGCTTAGAGGGAACATTGCTTACAGGTAGCAGAAACATTACCCTTCCTAATAGCACCAGAACTGCATTTTTGCAGATTTTCAGCTGAAGCCGTTCCAGAGTGCTGCTGCACTGACTGTAGATAACATGGCCTCTTAATCTCTCTCCCTTCCCCTGTCATCCCAGCTGGTCTGCAGGAGGATGATATTGCAGATACATAAAAAATATTTAGAATCCGTATAGCATTTTTCAGGGTTCCAATTGTTTAACATATTGCCTTAATCTTTACAACATCCCTGCAAGGTAGGCCAGTAATAGTCCTGTGTTCTAGATAAGGCGCTCTTGTAGGGGTGTTTTCCCAAGGCCACTCTCCTGACTGTGGGTCTTATCCACTCTGCTACACCAGCTGCCAAAGGGGATAAAGATGCACAACTATTCAATGTACCCCATGGTTTGTGCTGGTCTTTGCTATGCTGCATGAACGACGCCACTGCGAGACAGCTGGAACGGAAAAAAAACCCTGCAATTCCCATGAAGTACAGCCGGAGCCGAGGTAAATAAGGGGGGGTTTGCTGCTGGCGCCGCACACGCCCAGGGTCGCGCGAAAATATCAACCCCACGGCCGCGCTCTGGGCAAGTTTTCCTTCCGTGGCTCAGTCGAGGCTGCAGGGCGGCCACAGCAGCTGCCACCGAGGCCGACTGACCTCCTCCTTCCCCGCCCTCCTGCGCGGGGGAGAAAGAAACCCAAATTCTTTACTCACTCCATTTCGCTGGTTTTGTTGCAGTGCGCAACACACGCTCGCTGGCTTCGAGATCTGTGCAGGTCTAGAAAGCCATGTCCTCGATGCCCACGGGCGTATCTCTCCGTGTAAATATCTACTGGTGCCTGTGCCGAGAAGAGAATGAGTCACAGTCGGGGTGGAGTCTCCCTATATCGTCTCACCGCCCTCCCAAGCCGCAGCGCAGCCTCGCCCCGTATCCATCCTCCAGTCTCGGTTCTTCCCCGGGGATTCCGCTCACCGTTGAGCATGCTCAGCACCTTTTTAAAAAAAGGAAGTCTAGTGTCTTTTCGCACACCCCTCCCAAAAGCCGGAGATGAGGGACGTTGGGAACCTAAAAACTTTGACACACACACACACCCCGAATCCCGATGAATAGAGAGATGTAGTTAGTGGTGAGAAGGGTGCCTTTTTGGACGTCCTGAACGCACGCCCCCTCCCTCGAATTACTAGATTTAGAGCCTGGCTCAGTTCGGAAGCCAGACCCACTCCTAGATGCCAGAAGACATGAATGGGATTGCATGGAGGGGGGCGGGGATGAATATGGTTTTGTGGTGGAAGCCTGGTATAAACTGAAGCCTGGCTGTCTAGACTCGAGCCAAATCTCTGCCTAGGAGTGACGTGACCCCATTATCTGAAGCCTCCTGTGTGCCTGTGCTGGATTTAAGATTCTCTCAAGCCAGGTTCATGGGAGACAGACTGGTTTGTGTGACCCCCCAAAACGAGATGGAGACGTTTTTAAAAAGTTAGAATCTGTTTCTAGGAATAATGTTCGCTTTTGAGTTTCACTGAGTTGTTTTTCGGGAATGATGTAAAAGAGTAAAATAAAACAAGTCCCGTGACGCCTTAAACTTATTCCAGCAGTCTTTTGTTAGTTTTTAAGGTGTCATTGGTGACTGGACTTAGGTTTATTTTGCTGCAACAGGCTAATATGGCTTCTCCTCTGGAATTACTAAATTTAGAAAAGTGACCTGCAAGCCCAATCAGTTCTCCCTTTCTCGTTTTTAAACAGAGCTGCAAAATTTTAGCTGTGCCATGAGACTGAATGTCTTCCTTTCAATGGATCATTATGCTTCTACTGGGGAGTTCAAATATCTCCAGTCACTTATTATCCTTTTCTTTTTCTCTCCCTCAAACAACCCTGTGAGTTAAGTGCTTGATGTTTCCATTTTGCAGGTGTGTAAACTGAGGCCGGGAGAAATGACATGCCTCAGAAGGTCTCGTGAATTTGCAGAATGTTGAATCTTGAAGGAGCTCCAGTCTGTTCATCTCTGCATTTTGCAGGTGTGTAAACTGAGGCCGGGGGGGAGGGGGGAATGACAGGCCTCAGAAGGTCTAGTGAATTTGCGGAATGTTGAATCTTGAAGGAGCTACAGTCTGTTCATCTCTCATTTGGAAGAGGTTTGTTCACAACAGAGACTGGTCCAACAGATAGCCTTCAAAGTACCCAAGACATCACCCGGTGTTTTAAATTCAGCTTTCAAATGTCTTTCCTTGTGTCTGATATCTCTCTCTGCCGCTGTAGACAGCTGCTGTCCCCACTGTTTCCCTCGTTCTGACAATATAATTCCCAAAGCAAATAAACCAATATTTTGATTAGAGCCGCCTACATTTACAAAGTTATGTGTAAGCTTTCCATTTACAAAACTGATTTTCAAACAGGATTTTAAAATGTAAAAGGGTATGTATGCACACACACACGCCTCTGAGAAAAAGGACTGTGTAACTCAAAAGTCTGCATAACACAGACGACAGTTTCCTTTTCATTGTGAATTTGTTCCCATGAACCAACATAGCTACCTGTTTTCTTCATCTAATGTGAACCCCCTGGCCACAATCCAGGTCCTTTCTGTACTGCACCTACAATGTAGATGGTTAAATAATAGTCTGAGTTGTCATTCTCTGGCCCCAGGCTGAGAATGCAATCCCAGTCTGCTTTTTTGGATTTGAATATTTCTGCCCGCCTACAGTTCCCAGACATTAGCAGGACTATTTTACCAGCGGAGAGAGAGCATTCAGCAGAGGCAACAGCAATGCGGCTGATTGCACCAGGGTTGCATCAGCTGTGGGTGTACGAAGGGAAACCTCAGCTCTCAATCGCCTCCGAAGGGCTAAGGAGGGGGGGATTCCATGATTGGCTTCAGCAACTGTCTATCTCAAGCAAGGCGGAGAATTCAGTCCTACTTCTTATAGTTGGCTGCTTAGGCTGAGACCAGAGTCAGGGCGTGAACAAAATGCATTAAAGGAACTCCTTTTGAGTGCATTTTATTTACATAACATTAAGCAGGCTTTTGCATCGTTTGTCAGGCAAGCTATATAAGGATCTGGTACTATGCTGAAGAGAGTGAAATCTAAGAGTTACGAGCAAAATGAAAAGAGCAAATTTTGAGTCCAGTGGCACCTTTAAGACCAACAAAGTTTTATTCTGCTACTTCAGACCAACACGGCTACCTACCTGAATCTGAGCAAAAAAACCCAAAAAGGAGCCCAGACAATTTTTTACCAAACAGGGCTACCCTTCTGAAACTAGGCAGGAGGATCTCTGCACATATTGACCTGAAATGTATAGGAAGGTACTGAAAGCAAATAGTTTGCGCGCACACACACACACACACAGAGAAAGTCTTTTCAGGTTTGTCACATCAAGATACTGTTGTCCCTATCACTGCCGTCAGTTTGCAGAAATCTGACCCTTACCTGTAAGGTAACAGGGTAACAAGATCCATTTGGGTTTATCCAAATTAATTTGGGACTCAACTTCAGAATTCAGATTTTCAACTCTGTGCCCAGACCCACTGTAATCACACTATGAGGCTGCAGTGCAAAATGTAGGTTTCACCAGCATCTCCTGAGATGGGGCAGCTGTCCAGGCCCAGAACCTCTGGCGGAGACCAATTCTTCTGACTCCCACCCACGCACCTTCCCACGTATGTCTGTACCCACGTTCCCAACTGCCCAGAGTCATGGAGGAAGGGCACGTGGGTAGTGCACAGTGGTGGCACTCCAGGTGGCAATGGCAGCAGCACTCCCAGCTGCATACCCTGGTCAGTGTTTTAAGGGAAGGGTGTGCAAGTGGTGCAGGCAACTGAGCATGAGCAGTGGGGAGGGCTTCTGAGTGGGAGAAGGAATGCACAGGCAGGTGAGGAGCATGTGGGGGTAGGGGGGGAAAAGCATTGGGGGCGGCTTGGGCATCGTTTGCCTGGTCCCCCCCAAACCTGGAACCGGCCCTGCTTGAGAATTTTTGTTTTGCAATATATGTGAATACTCAATTTGTGTCAACAGCACTCACATTTGGGTAGTGAAACTAGGGATCCCGTTGAAACAAAAGCCCCAGTGGGGGAGGTTAAAATGTTAGATCTGGCAAAATGCTGAATTGTTAAATTTGGAATCTGAATTTGGTGAGTTGGTTACAAACTTGCTCTCTTGAAACTTGCAGCAGCCAAATCGCTCACTTACAACTTTAATGGCAGTAGCTCACCAAGTAGAATTTTTGCTCACAAGACTCCACAGCTTAGAGGGAGCATTGAAGGTGTCATAATCTGGTACCACAACCACTTTTTCCATACTGTTCAAGCATTCCTGGGGAACAGAAATCTACCTAGTACATTTCTATCCCAAGGAGCTCAGATTAGCAGCATACATAATTCTTTGCAATTTTATTCTCACAACAACCTTGTAAAGCAGGTTAGCTGAGAGGCAGTGACTAGTTGAAGGTCACCCACTGAGCACCATGGTTGAAAAGGGGATTTGAACCCAGATCCTAGTACACCACTAACCATCGCTTTTGGCTGCCTATGTAGTTTGCAATAATGGAGGTGATGGGCAATCTATGGCAATGACATACTGATGGATTTTCTAAACTACTTGTGTTTTTGATGCTGCTCATTTAACCACTTTTGGAAAAGGATCTTAGCAGGAAGGAACCAGAAGACTGTCCATCTCTATGAATCAACATCCCCTAAGTAAAACATTACTATCCCAGTTTACCTTCGTCTGTGGGTGAATCCAGGGGTCGTTTCGTAGAAAAAGAGCTAGGGGAACTCATTAGCATAACTCATTAGCATATGCCACACTCTCTGACATCACCGGAAGTGTGTCATAAGGTCACACCCCCTGCCATCACCGGAAGTGTGTCATAAGGCCACACACCCCGCCCCCAACGGTCCCGGCCGCTGCCGCCGGCCTTGCAGCTCCACTGCCGAGCCCCACAAGGGGCCCTGCAAGGCCGGCGGGAGTGCAAGGAAGCCCCGCGAAGGCCCTCCCTGGCCCCAGGCAGGCAGGGGTGGGGAGAGGCAGGGAGGAAGCAACTTACCCTCCCTCTTC